TGAGGGGGAATCCATGGGTGTACCTTCATTTTATTTGTAGAAAGTACCATTTCAGGTGAAGTAAGTGTTGGTAAGGCAGTGCCTAACCAGAGTAGGAACATCAGGATTCAGTCCATGTTGGACTAAATCTTCAATTATTGCTAAGGTGTCAGGCACAGGAACCTTGGTGAACAGATAAACTACATCCAAGCTAAATTTTTATTTAAAGCTTTCGTGACTGCAGGGATTCATATTCTTAGTTGTTTCGGTAAAGTGACGTAGAAGGGAAACAATAAAATAATAAAAATATAAAAACAATAAAATTGTTTTTATATTTTATAATTTTGAAACTGACGCCATCCAGACTGCCACTCTACGCCCAACCTTATGGAAGAGGTACGTTGATGACACCTTTGTCAACTGGCCACATGGCCAGCCTGCTCTAGACCAATTCCGCGACCACATCAATTCCATACACCCAGCCATCAGATTTACCATGGAGGTCGAAAAAGATGGCAAACTACCCTTTTTGGATGTCTTAATTAAAAGGAGACATGATGGTTCAATGAGCCACTCTGTCTACAGGAAAGCTACCCATACAGATGCTTACTTGAAACCGGATTCCCACCACCATCCATCCCAGAAGAACTCCCTCATCAAGACTCTATACCATAGAGCCCAATGCATTTCCGACCAGGAACACATTACCAGTGAACTCAAGCACGTACACCAGGCTCTCAGGGCTAATGGCTACTCCGACTACACAATCCGCAAAGCCATCACTCCAGTCATGAAGAAGGATCCTCTTGTGGAGCCACTCAAAACCATCACCTTACCCTACATTGCAGGGGTCACTAAAAAGATCTCCAAAATCCTGAATAAACACAAGATCCAGGTCCGATTCAACACAGTACACAAAATCCGTGATTTAGTTCCATCTGTAAAAGATGCTCTTCCAGACATACAGTACCCGGGCGTTTACAAACTAAAGTGCCTCTGTGGTAGTAGCTACATTGGAGAAACCAAAAGACATATCTCGGACCGCATCCGCGAACATAAAGCAGACTTGAAACACGGTAAGACGAACTCCTCTGCCGTGGCAGATCACTGTTACAATTCAGTGGGCTCACATGACATTGACTTCTCCAAGACGGAGGTTCTTTGCAAACCAACTGGCTACCATGAGAGATTCGTTCATGAGGCCATTCACATATACAAGCACAGAGACAATTTCAACCGAGAAGATGGATTCAGGCTTAGTAACCACTGGAAAGATGTGTTAAATCATTTCTGTTCTTAATTAATTGTAATTTTACGATGACCTTCAGACCGCAGCTCTTTCGCCAGCATTGCCTCTTAATACCTCTCACACCACGGTTAATGGTATGGTTTACAACATGGAGTATACTAGGGCTTCGCAGCTGTCTCTCTCCCCCTCCTCTGTTCCGACCATGGACGAACTCGTCCGTCTGAACGGGGCCCGTAGCTATCCGTGGTACGGAAATTTGAGGGTAAGAATCCACCCATTTTTTCGCCATATAGCATTGTGATATATAACGACTTATGGTTGGTAGCTTAGCTGATTGGAGAATATAGAGTTTATTGATAACATGAAGGTAATTTATATTTTAGTTTTTATTGGTTCACTATATAGTACTGTGAATAGCTCAGATGTGTAGTCATTTCTGTGACCAGTCACTAGCAAATCACCCAGTTATTTCAATGCTAAATTCGCCTAGTTATTTCAATGCTAAATTCTCCTGTTTGATTTGTACTAAGTGCCTCGGTGAATGTGTATGCTCTGACTTCAACGTAACTATTTCTGTAGCAGTTACAAGCGAGTCACTCAGCCATTTCAATGCTAAATTCTATGCTAATCCCATTGTCAAGGGGTGCCTCTGCGGATGTGTATGCCTTAACTTAGCTATTTCAATGCTAAATTCTATGCTAATTCCTTTTAACAATGGGTGCCTCTGCGGATGTGTGCTTTAACTTTTAATATAGCTATTTCTGTGACCAGTCACAAGCTAATCATTCAGCCATTTCAATGCTAAATTTTATGCTAATCCCTTTGTCAAGGCTCTTTGTTCCTCTCACACAGCTTAAAAGCCGTGATCTGAACGTGGCTCTCTCACTCCAGCGCTGTCCTACCAGACAGTCTCGCCCCCTTCACCTGATGAAGGCCGCTTGTGTTGTGGCCGAAACGTCGTGAGAATATTATTGTGTTATTTTATTTTATCAATTTATTATTTTATTCTCATTCTACGTGACTTTACCGAAAGAACCAAAGAAGATGAATCATTGCAGTCACGAAAGCTTTAAATCGAAATGTGCAGGGAAAACTGGAGGATGTGGAGAAAAATCCACGCGACCACAGGGAGAATGTGCAAACTCCAAATATACAGCAGGCGTCAGGGTTTAGATCGAACCCATGTGCTTCTGTATACCAGGTGAGGTAGTTCACATCTCGCCACTGTGGCGCCCCAGTGCCCACAGGCAACACTTTGAGCAAATTACACTCAAATGTCCACACAGATTCAAGAACCCATTTCTCTACCGTCTTCTCCTGGCCATCTCAGCACACTCACATGTGCTGTTGCCAGGAATCATGAATACGTCGCAGGGTTCAGAGTGCGATGCACGAAGCACTGTGCCATCACTCCCCACATTAAACTTAAATAAAATTTATTTTACCAAGTAAGGCCCACTGAGCTATATCGCTCTTTTTCAGAAACGACCTGGCCACACATGAAAGCTCCAAATAGTGGGGCATCACTTTGGCAAGATGTTAACTTCCTTTGACTCCCTCGCCTGGTATTCAGGAGGTCGTGGGTTCGATCCCGACCCTCACACCTGTATTTCTAGAGTTTGCATGTTCTCGCCATGGTCGTGTGGATTTTTCTCCGGGTCCTCCAGTTTTTCCCTCCACATTTTAGAATCAACGTGTTCAGAGTATTTGGCTGCTCTCAATTTCCACATGATAAGCCACTTCGTTGAGTTATAATTTGTGGCCCAGTCGCTTCTGAAAAAGAGCTATATAACTCCGTGGGTTAAAATTAAAAAAAAATGTTGATAGTTTTATACTCTAAACCCATGTTTCTAAATGTGGAAGGAAAACCCGGAGGACCTGGGAAAATTACATGAGCATGGGGAGAACACGCATACTCCAAATATGCATGTAACACGATGCCCAGCCGACCCATGTGATGGAGCTCAATTGGCCAGTGTGTCCACCGAGGGAACGAGCGTGCTGCTGATAACGCACGTGCCTCCATTCTGCTTCAAACTCCCCTGGATGTTAATGGAGTGCGCAGTGTTTATTGCCGTTGTTCGTAGGCTAGGGCTTTACCCATTCTGAATGGTGGGAATCGAGCCAAACTAAAACTGTCAGGGTGAATCGAGTAGAATTAATTTTGTGCAACTTGTAGAGTTCCACAATTTCGCGAACATGCGGTATGTAACTCTATAGGAACCAGGCCTTTTAAAATAAACATTATCAATATCAAAATATATTAGTGAAATTGTGTGTTACTTGTGATGCCACAGCAACGGAGCAGCTCTGCCGGCGCTGCTGCCCCCTCGCAACCCCTCACACGAGCACACACAAATACCCCCACGTAGGACCACGTGGGGGAGTCACTGGCCTCTGGGTTTTCACCCGAGAGCCCCCTCGTGGGGGTGCTCCACGGTTTCCCGGGGCCAGGGAATTGGCAGATCGAATGGCACTGCGGAGCCGTGAATTAACTTTAAATTGTATGGCCACGGCAAGCCCACTAAGCAACCGCAGTGAGAACATACCAACACAGGGGAAGGGAGGGGGAGCCTTGGAGGGAGCCGAGCTTACAGCGGGCAGCAGGGAAGGCAGTGCAAGTAAGGGGCAGGGCAAGCGTGTAAACAATGGACTACGGCACCGTTGGGGGGCTGAGCCAGATAGTGGGGGGTAGGACGAGCACGCTTGAGCCCAAAAGACAACGCAGCAACCCAAGTGGATCTCTTTGAAGTGAGGGGGTTAGGCCACGGATAAGTGCCCGATTGGCTGCGCGGATTAGGGTCCGGATGGACTGATGGAGCACATAGGGGAGGCGCTCTGATTGGCTGAGAGGACCGCCCAGCTTAGTCGGGGACCTCTTTTATGTAGAAAGGGGTAAACGTGGAGGGGAGAGGATGACTGGGTTGGTCGTCTTCTTCTCAAGTCAGCGAGCCACGCGTTCAGCCTTCCAGCCACTCGAGCGTCCAAGTGACGCTACCGAGCGCAGCTGAGACACGACACACAGGCAGGGAGGGATCTCCTGCACCCTCGTCTCTCCAACTCCCAAGACGGCCGTAAAAAATCGTGAATACATACGATGGCTTAGTGGGGAATAGCGTGAGGACTCCACAAGGGCTTAATTCGAGATAGGCGAGGAGGGTTGGGAACAGCCGGGAGAGACGCTGCTCGCTGGGTGGTTTTCGGCTCCGGGTCACGTAGCATTTACTTGCAGTCGCGCCTGGAATAAAACTCTAGCATAAAATATCGACGTTGTGTGGTTTCTGTGAGGGAAGAAGGGTGGTGGGAGTGGTGTGGTGCAGGTGCGAGCAACAGGTTAACGCGCGAAGCAACCTACGCGTAACAATCGTCGTCCAGTCATCTTTGTGCCCGGGTTTTGCGCGCGAATCCCGTCGGCGTTCATTCATCATTGTGCCCAGGTTTTTTGCGCGCGAGTGCGTATTCACTCCGCGCGTTTTATGCAGTGGGTTGTCCTTGCGACGCTCGCCTTAAGGGGGTCGGCGGGTGCGTAATTCAAACACGTGGTGCTAGGAATTAGCGTGCGAATATCCTCCTCATCAGCGCGACCACCTGTACCCACGTGTTTGTCATCAATAGCGTGCCGTTACCCTGGGAATTAACGCGCGAATCCTACCATCATTAATTCGCCGTTGCACATGGTGGTTGCGCCGTTGTTGTTGGTGGTGGTGACTGTGCCCACGCATATTCATACGGCTATTTTTAGCGCGAGCCGTGGGCAGCAGCGTGCACGGGTACGTGCGTGCAAGGAGTCACCTCCGAGCATTTTGGGGAGTGTACGCGGGGAGTGCGTGGGTAACCCCAGGCGGCGGAGGGCCAGCCCTGAGTAATGCCCCACAGGGAGGACGTGGAGGCGGCGAGGCCGATGACTCGATCGGCGGCAGCCCGGCAAGAGGAAGAGGAGGTTGAAGGGGTAGAGGAGGCGGGGAGCATCAGCCCCCACATACTCACTTGAAGTAGTTAAATTGCAGCTTGACAAAAGTGCCATTGGGAACTGTAATGTCCACAGTGCAGAACATATTTGTTGCGTAGCCAAGGTCATAAAAGCTGTTCATTCTGCCAGAGTCGCCATGCAAACTCAATGAACACCGATCAATGCCTGTCAAAAGGATTACAGTACACAGAGATGACATTAAGACATCAGTCATTGAATGCAAACATCGATGTTAAATACATATTTGTTAAATGTTCAGTATATACTGAACTTGACTGCCTATATAACATACGGTATGATGCACGGTACGCACATGAATACAGAAGATATTTTCTTCATATTATTTTTCCCCCAATTATATCCTGATTGTGCGATCAGCGTTAACTTATGGGGATGAATCCATTTTAAAGTCTTTAATATTCAATAGCAGTCTGCAGAAGCAGCTATCAGAGAACTACGTCTGCGACACACATCAATTTTCAAAACTATAGGGCGAAGCATTTTCCCACCTGCCTTAATAATTAAACATTCTCAAAGCCAAACCCGACTGCAATGTCAAATTGAATGTGATGGTTTTGGTGTTTGATCATCGGCGACTGGGCTGAGACCACCAACTCGCTAGACCTGGAAACCCGGCTCCATCATGGTCAGCCGCCTGGATTCCCAATGAGGATCTCATCAGTGTCAGCTCAGGGCTCTGACTTCTGAGCCATGTGGTGGCCACTTTTCATAACCAGGCGTATTTTTTAAAATATACCCGGGCGGTACGCAATGACAGTTATTTTACCAAGTTTAATTTCTGAGCAATATGCATTCATAATGATTATATGGACTGTTCTAGAACGCTGTAGCAGTTGCGTACCAAAGAAAACGTGGGTAGCATCTAGAATCATCCAGCAGCATCCCACCTTGTGTGATGCTACGCCGAGGCAGCCATACGACCACTTATTCCTACTCACGCGACGTAGTTCTGTTCACTCAATCGCGTTATATCCAATTCGCGTTATGAAACACACGCGGCGTTATAGGAGAACTGACTACTGTACATCTCTCTCCCATCTCTTTCATAGCGCCCTTCTGAATAGATGTGATTTTTTTCTCTTACACGTCTTCTAAAACGTAGATATATTCTTTAATCTTACTCGACCTGTCTTAATCTTGATTTGAAGCTTTCGTGACTGCAGGAATCCATACTCTTTGGTTCTTTTGGTAAAGTCACGTAGTTAGAAATAAAATAAAAACAAATCACAACGTTTCGATCGCAACACAAGCAATCGTCATCAGGTGGGAAAATCACAGCAAGAAACAACTGCTGAAGAAGGCGAGAGAGCTGCCGTGGCACGAGGTTATATAGACTATATAGGTAGGGTACATGGGCGGGGCTAGAGATGGGGGCGTGGGCAGAGTAAGAGCTGCGGAGGAGACGGGAGAGCTAGGGGGCAAGAGAGGTGGGGGGTTGCCAATGAAGCAACAATGCCAATGCAGCAGCAATGCCAAACGCCCGGGATGCGGGGGGAAATTAACTCGGAAAACAGACCAGCACCCAACAGATATGATGGAACAACCATACACAGTTAAGGTTTTACCTGGTTAATAACATCCTTCCAATGAGTGTTCAATTTGTATCCATCTTCTCGGTTTAAGTTATGTCTATGTGTATATATCTGGATGGCTTCATGAACAAACCGTTAATAGTAGCCCGAAGGTTGCAGAGTACCTTGGTCTCGGAAAAAAAAAACGATATCATGCGAGCCCACAGCGTTATAACAATGGTCAGCCATGGCAGAGGTATTGGTTCTGCCGTGTTTCAGATCTGCCTTGTGTTCGTGAACACGGTCCGAGACATGTCGTTTCGTTTCCCCAATGTAACAGCTACCACAGGTAGATGGCGGCGGCGTGTGAGTTGTGCTGTGTGAGTATGAGCTGTGCGTGAGAATGAGCTGTGTGTGAGCTGTGTGTGAGTGTGTGTGAGTGAGTGAGCTGTGTGGGTGTTTAAATTGAGATTGGCGGGTGCAGGGGGGTTTAATCGTTTAGTCGGGTCTAATTGTATGTTCTTTCTCCATCTGTCCATCATCATCTCTTTCCTTCGTCTCTCTCGTGAGTGTAAATATAAATGTACATCAGAGGGCTTTTGATTAAATCAAGTCAACTAAAACTAGACGTGGCAAATATGGACCCGGACATTTTTTGCCGAACAGAAACATGTCTGACTCCTGCCGTACATGACTTGCAGATTACGATTGACAACTAGAACCTTTTTTGGCTTAACTGAGGGTCTAAAGGAGGTGGAATTGCCATCTATGTTCGTAATACCATTGCATGTTCACCAGCTCACTCCTTGTTAAAAAAAGTATTGCTTTAAAGGTCTGGCTCTCAGAATAACTCTCCCAAATAATCAACAGATATTGGCAGTGTGCTGCTATAGACCGCCTAGTGGTAAGGATGTTGAAGCTGCGTCTGCACTGAGAGAGCTTCTTGGGGGCCTCCCTAAAGGTGAAATAGTTTTAGTGGGTGATCTAAATTGGAATTGGCTAAACCCGCCGGCCGTGGCCACAAATTGTGCAGATGAATTTAACCTATTTCAATTAATAAATGTCCCCACAAGACCCAACCTAAAAAATCCGGGACAGTCATCTCTGCTTGACGTCCTATTGACAAATGCCCCTCACAATTTCACACTGACTGGTGTTCTGGGTAATAACATTAGTGATCACTCCTTCATTTTTGGGGTGAGATCACAGCGTTGAAATACGGTGTTTTTTCTGGAAGACTTTGCTGTTTTTTTCAGAATTTTTCTGTTGCGTGTCGTCACTTTAAGATGTTTCTTGTTCATGTTTTTGTTTTGTTGCGGTTGCACCCGAGTCATGAGCCGCATGGCTCACAGGGTTATACCTAATAAATGATACTGAAACTCAGTTTGAAGACTCCAGGATATTGCATGTCAGGAATGACATCCTTCACAGATGGGATTGGATCACGGATTTTGTGTACTGTGTTGAATCGGACCTGGATCTTGTGTTTGTTTAAGATTTTGGAAATATTTTTGTTAACACCTGCTATGTATGGTAACGTGATGGTTTTGATCGGCATCTCAGGGGGTTGTTTCTCCATGGTTGGAGAAACAGCTTTGCGAATAATGTGGTCCGAGTATGTGTTCCAGTTCACTGGCTAGGTGGTGTTGGTCGGAAAAGCAGTGGGCCCTATGGTGTAGTGTTTTGATGAGGGAATTCTTCTGTGCCGGATGGTGGTGGGAATCAGGTTTCAGATAGGAATCTGTGTGGGCGGTTTTCCTGTAGACAGAGTGTCCCAACGAGCCGTCAGGTCTCTTCTCAAACAAAACATCCAGGAATGATAACTTATCATACTTCTGCACTTCCATGGTGAATTTGATGGATCTGTGTATGGAATATATGTGGTTGAGAAATTGTTTCAATGCTGGCAGGCCACGTGGCAAAATGACGAAAGTGTCATCTACATATCTCTTCCACAAGGAAGGGCGTAGGGTGGATGTCTGGATGGCATCTGTTTCAAATTTCTCCATGAAAACATTCGCTATCACTGGTGATGAGGGGGAATCCATGGGTGTACCTTCATTTTATTTGTAGAAAGTACCATTTCAGGTGAAGTAAGTGTTGGTAAGGCAGTGCCTAACCAGAGTAGGAACATCAGGATTCAGTCCATGTTGGACTAAATCTTCAATTATTGCTAAGGTGTCAGGCACAGGAACCTTGGTGAACAGATAAACTACATCCAAGCTAAATTTTTATTTAAAGCTTTCGTGACTGCAGGGATTCATATTCTTAGTTGTTTCGGTAAAGTGACGTAGAAGGGAAACAATAAAATAATAAAAATATAAAAACAATAAAATTCTCACGACGTTTCGACTGCAACACAAGCAATCATCATTAGGTGTGAAAACCACAGCAAGAAAATTTTCTTGCTGTGGCTTGTGTTGCAGTCGAAACGTCGTGAGAATTTTATTGTTTTATATTTGTATTATTTTATTGTTTCCCTTCTACGTGACTTTACCGAAAGAACCAAGAATATACATCAAAGCTGACGAGAAAATCATCTGGGGACAGTGAAATGTCCTTGATTAGAGAGACCAGGTGAGCTGAGTTACGTACTGCTGAGGTAGTCTTGCCCGTGAATGGAAGCAAGGTATCAGACAGAAAACGGGCCAGTTTGTGGGTAGGTGAGTTGATAGTGGAAACGATGGGCCGAAGTGGAGTGCCTTCTTTATGGATTTTTGGAAGACCATATAATCTGGGTGATCTAGTAGCAGAAGGTTTTAGGGAGAGCCGTTTGCATGGTTCAATTAGAGAAGTCGCCCCCATCTCTAGTCCCGCCCATGTACCCTACCTTTATAGTCTATATAACCTCGTGCCACGGCAGCTCTCTCGCCTTCTTCAGCAGTTGTTTCTTGCTGTAGTTTTCCCACCTGATGATGATTGCTTGTGTTGCGATCGAAACGTCGTGATTTGGTTAAAATATCTTCTTTGGTTCTTTCGGTAAAGTCACGTAGAATGTGAATAAAATAATAAAATAAAACAATTAAATTCTCACGACGTTTCGGCCACAACACAAGTAGCCTTCATCAGGTGAAGAAACAGGACTGTCCAGAAGACAGCGCTTGAGTGAACACTGCCAAGCATGGGCCGCGTCTTTTAAGCTGTGTGGGAGCAACAGAGCGCCTTGACAAAGGAGTTAACATATAAATTAGCATGTAACTGGGGGATTAGCATGATGTTAGAATGAGGGATCAACACCACGGAGAGCGACGAGCATGCAACTGGGAGACCAGCATGATGTTGGTGTGAGGGATTAGCAGCAGTCTACATATCAACAGCAAATAAGCATGTAACTGGGGGATTAGCATGATGTCAATATGAGGGATCAGCACCACGGAGAATGACGAGCCTGAAGAAAGCCAAGCGCAGGTCGCCCCCCCCCCCCCCTCCTTAAGCTGTGAGGGGGTAAACAGAAAACGCCTTGGCAAAGGAAATAAGCCTAAATCACACCACTAACAACGCTTGGAATTAGCACAAGATGATAGTACACCACCCTGGAAGTTTGGAATGTCACCACCTGAATAAATATACTGCATCACTGAAAATTAGTTTAATGTTTGGTTCGATTTAGAACATCTTTCCAATGGTTGCTTAATTTGAAACCATCTTCTCCGTGCTCCATTCAGACGGACGAGTCCATCCATGGTCGGCACGGAGGAGGGAGGAGGGAGACGGCTGCGAGGCGCTGTTATACGCCATGTTACAAACCATATCATTGACCGTGGTGTGAGAGGTATTAAGAGTCAATGCCAGCGAAAGAGCTGCGGTCTGAAGGTCATCGTAAAATACAATTAATTAAGAACTGAAATGGTTCAAAACATCTTTCCAATGGTTACCAAGCCAGAATCCATCTTCTCGGTTGAAAATGTCTCTGTGCATGTATATGTGGATGGCCTCATGAACGAATCTCTCATGGTAGCCGGTTGGCTTGCAAAGAACCTCCGTCTTGGAGAAGTCAATGTCAGACCAAACAGTTCTCGTTGAAACCCTCTGCTGCCAGACCACAAAGATTATATGGCCTTCCAAAGATACACAAAGAAGACACACCCCTTCGTCCCATCGTCTCTACTATCAACTCCCCCACCTATAAACTGGCACGTTTTCTTGCTGATATACTGCGACCTTTCACTGAAAAAAACACCTCTGCGGTACTAAATTCTACTCACCTGGTATCGACAATCAAAGGCATTTCCCTGTCCCCAAACGACCTGCTTGTCAGTTTTGATGTGGTGTCTTTGTTCACCAAAGTTCCGGTACCTGACACCATCGCTATCATTGAAGACCTGGTTCATCAAGGACTGCATACTGATGTACCCCCCCTGGTGAGACATTACTTAACCAACACATACTTCACCTGGAACGGAACTTTCTACAAACAAACTGAGGGCACCCCAATGGGCTCCCCCCTGTCTCCGGTTGTAGCCAACGTATTCATGGAGAAATTTGAAACTGACGCCATCCAGACTGCCACTCTACGCCCGACCTTGTGGAAGAGGTACGTGGATGACACTTTTGTCATCTGGCCACATGACCAGCCTGCTCTAGACCAATTCCGCGACCACATCAATTCCATACACCCAGCCATCAGATTTACCATAGAGGTCGAAAAAGATGGCAAGCTGCCCTTTTTGGATGTCTTAATTAAAAGGAGACCTGATGGTTCAATGAGCCACTCTGTCTACAGGAAGGCTACCCATACAGATGCTTACTTGAAACCGGATTCCCACCACCATCCATCCCAGAAGAACTCCCTTATCAATAGTCTATACCATATAGCCCAATGCATTTCCGACCAGGAACACATAAGCAGTGAACTCAAGCACGTATACCAGGCTCTCAAGGCTAATGGTTACTCCCACTACACAATCCGCAAAGCCATCACTCCAGTCATGAAGAAGGATCCTCTTGTGGAGCCACTCAAAACCATCACCTTGCCCTACATTGCAGGGGTCACTAAAAAGATCTCCAAAATCCTGAATAAACACGGGATCCAGGTCCGATTCAAAACAGTACATAAAATCCGTGATCTGGTTCCATCTGTTAAAGATGCTGTTCCAGACATAGAGTACCCGGGCGTTTACAAACTAAATTGCCTCTGTGGCAGTAGCTACATTGGAGAAACCAAACGACATATCTCGGACCGCATCCGCGAACATAAAGCAGCCTTGAAACACGGTAGAACGAACTCCTCTGCCGTGGCAGATCACTGTTGTAATTCAGTGGGCTCACATGACATTGACTTCTCCAAAACGGAGGTTCTTTGCAAGCCAACCGGCTACCATGAGAGATTCGTTCATGAGGCCATCCACATATACAAGCACAGAGACAATTTCAACTGAGAAGATGGATTCTGGCTTAGTAACCATTGGAAAGATGTTTTAAACCATTTAAGTTCTTAATTAATTGTATTTTACGATGACCTTCAGACCGCAGCTCTTTCGCTGGCATTGACTCTTAATACCTCTCACACCACGGTCAATGATATGGTTTGTAACATGGCGTATAACAGCGCCTCGCAGCCGTCTCCCTCCTCCCTCCTCCGTGCCGACCATGGATGGACTCGTCCGTCTGAATGGAGCACGGAGAAGATGGTTTCAAATTAAGCAACCATTGGAAAGATGTTCTAAATCGAACCAAACATTAAACTAATTTTCAGTGATGCAGTATATTTATTCAGGTGGTGACATTCCAAACTTCCAGGGTGGTGTATTATCATCTTGTGCTAATTCCAAGCGTTGTTAGTGGTGTGTTTTAGGATAATTTCCTTTGCCAAGGCGTTTTCTGTTTACCCCCTCACAGCTTAAGGAGGGGGGGCGACCTGCACTTGGCATTCTTCAGGCTCGTCATTCTCCGTGGTGCTGATCCCTCATATTGACATCATGCTAATCCCCCAGTTACATGCTTATTTGCTGTTGATATGTAGACTGCTGCTAATCCCTCACACCAACATGCTGGTCTTCCAGTTGCATGCTCGTCGCTCTCCGTGGTGTTGATCCCTCATACTAACATCATGCCAATCCCCCAGTTACATGCTAATTTATATGTTAACTCCTTTGTCAAGGCGCTCTGTTGCTCCCACACAGCTTAAAAGACGCGGCCCATACTTGGCAGTGTTCACTCAAGCGCTGTCTTCTGGACAGTCCTGTTTCTTCACCTGATGAAGGCTACTTGTGTTGTGGCCAAAACGTAGTGAGAATTTAATTGTTTTATTTTATTATTTTATTCTCATTCTACGTGACTTTACCGAAAGAACCAAAGAAGATGAATCCTTGCAGTCACGAAAGCTTTAAATTGAAATTGTTTAAAATAGTAAAACAAACGGTGACAAAATACAATCATTCAGATGGCAGGGGACGTGCAAGGGTTGAGTATTGAGTGAACATTGTAGAGGGTGCTTCGGGGTCACGAAAGGGTAGTAGGTATGACATTTCTCTCTCTTATCTAATTATTTTGCTAATCTTAATACTTTGATAAAGCTGCTCTCTCTTCTATCATTTAAATATCTAAATTATTTTTCCGTCATTTCACTACATCTCATTATTTTGAAGACTTCTACTCTACTGGCTATCTGTCTTCCCTTATCTCACTGCATTTGTCGCACTTTTCTCTCAATTCCCAAAAACGTATCGATCACTTACACGTCTCAAATCAACGTCCTCGGTGAACAGTTGTGTTAGGTATAAAAATGTTAAACAGGTAAACAACGCGAGGACGTATGGCCACTGAAACGCTGAAGTTGCACTTACTCTCATAATATGCACTGAACCCTGTTAATACGATGATGATGTCAGACGTGAACTGGACGAACAAGTTGCTTCCAGATGAAGTCAAGGCTTGGGGCACAGTGACGCCAGTAAATCTACCCAATTGGGGGTAATCTCTTGAAGGTCCATCGTACACTGTCACAAAGTCATAATTTTGTTCAATTCTGGGAAAGAAACAGGTTAAGTTAACATTCGTGTTATAAGTAATACTTATGCTGTATACTGTTTAAAATGTAGTCTTTCGCGACCAATATTATCCACAATAGGTTTTTTGGGTTAGATCGCGTAAATATAAATGGGTCATTAATATAAATGTGTCACAAATCTGGCTGTCGCCTGATGATGCTAGTTGTAATCACTGCCGTTCTCTAATTTTGCTGTATTAGTGTAATAAGAGAGCGCCATCTACTGAGATATTGTGGGGGTTACATTACAGTGAGGAAAAAAGCATTTGATCCCCTGCTGATTTTGTACGTTCGCCCACTGACAAATAAATGATCAGTCTATAATTTTAATGGTATGTTTATTTGAACAGTGAGAGACAGAATAACAACAACAAAATCCAGAAAAATGCATGTCAAAAATGTTATCAATTGATTTGCATTTTAATGAGGGAAATACGTATTTGACCCCTCTGCAAAACATGACTTAGTACTTGGTGGCAAAACCCTTGTTGGCAATCACAGAGGTCAGATGTTTCTTGTAGTTGGCCACCAGGTTTGCACACATCTCAGGAGGGATTTTGTCCCACTCCTATTTGCAGATCTTCTCCAAGTCATTAAGGTTTCGAGGCTGACGTTTGGCAACTCGAACCTTCAGCTCCCTCCACAGATTTTCTATGGGATTAAGGTCTGGAGACTGGCTAGGCCACTCCAGGACCTTAATGTGCTTCTTCTTGAGCCACTCCTTTGTTGCCTTGGCCGTGTGTTTTGGGTCATTGTCATGCTGGAATACCCATCCACGACCCATTTTCAATGCCCTGGCTGAGGGAAGGAGGTTCTCACCCAAGATTTGACGGTACATGGCCCCGTCCATCGTCCCTTTGATGCGGTGAAGTTGTCCTGTCCCCTTAGCAGAAACACACTCCCAAAGCATAATGTTTCCACTTCCATGTTTGATGGTGGGGATGGTGTTCTTGGGGTCATAGGCAGCATTCCTACTCCTCCAAACATGGCGAGTTGAGCTGATGCCAAGGAGCTCCATTTTGGTCTCATCTGACCAAAACACTTTTACCCAGTTGTCCTTTGAATCATTCAGATGTTCATTGGCAAACTTCAGACGGGCATGTATATGTGCTTTCTTGAGCAGGGGGACCTTGCGGGCGCTGCAGGATTTCAGTCCTTCACGGCGTAGTGTGTTACCAATTGTTTTCTTGGTGACTATGGTCCCAGCTGCCTTGAGAGCATTGACAAGATCCTTCCGTGTAGTTCTGGGATGATTCCTCACCGTTCTCATGATCATTGCAACTCCACGAGGTGAGATCTTGCATGGAGCCCCAGGCCGAGGGAGATAGACAGTAATTTTGTGTTTCTTCCATTTGCGAATAATCGCACCAACTGTTGTCACCTTCTCACCAAGCTGCTTGGCAATGGTCTTGTAGCCCATTCCAGCTTTATGTAGGTCTACAGTCTTGTCCCTGACATCCTTGGAGAGCTCTTTGGTCTTGGCCATGGTGAAGAGTTTGGAATCTGATTGATTGATTGCTTCTGTGGACAGGTGTCTTTTATAAAAGGTAACAAGCTGAGATTAGGAGCACTCCCTTTAAGAGTGTGCTCCTAATCTCAGCTCATTACCTGTATAAAAGACACCTGGGAGCCAGAAATCTTTCTGATTGAGAGGGGGTCAAATACTTATTTCCCTCATTAAAATGCAAATCAATTTATAACATTTTTGACATGCGTTTTTCGGAATTTTGTTGTTGTTATTCTGTCTCTCACTGTTCAAATAAACCTACTATTAAAATTATAGACTGATCATTTCTTTGTCAGTGAGCAAACGTACAAAATCAGCAGGGGATCGAATACTTTTTTCCCTCACTGTACTTATCATACAGTCCACTGTTTATCCATAGTGGGGATTATATCTGAGGTAAAAGGTGATTGGGCGGATCTACCAGGGAAGCCTCTGGAACGTTCCCGAAGGTTCCAGGAGGGGTGTGGCCAGAGGTGGGGCTCAGCCTCCGTGGAGAGAATATAAGCCGGGGGTACAGCAACATTAGGGGTTGGTGCTTGAAGATCAAGAGGAGCTCCCGTCACTGCTGCCCCGCCATCTCCACCTGCCACGTGTGCGGCTCGACCTCCAGCCGCTCCCTAGCCCACCGCCAGCCAGCGGCGCGTTAGCAAGCGGGGTGAGCGCCACATAGCGCGGGGCAGTGCAGCCACGAGAGCGGGTCGACATACGCGGAGAGAGAGAGAGGTGGCTGTACCGAAGATTTATAATAAAGCGCTTGAAGTTATTTACCATGTCAGAATCACTCATTACAGGGGTGTCACCTGCAGTGTCCTCCTCCTCCAACGAGACGGCGACTCAGATCCTGCCAACCCCGGGTTCCATGGTCCCGGTGATGGAGCCCATGACAGGTGCCAATGTTGCACCGGCGGCGGACGGCACGGCGGAGTCATCCCACCAGCTTCGCCCTGACAATCCGTGGCGGAGGGTGGAAACCCAGCTGGGCGCTCTAACAACAGCGCTCCTTCACCTCGTCGCTCTCGTCACGCCGATCGCCGCTGGGGGTGGACGAGCAGAGGACAGGCGACGGTGCCTCGGAGGGTCCCCCCTTCGGAGATATGGCTGGAGACGGCTGCCATTTCACAGTTCTCGCCAACTACGTGTGTCACGGCCGCAATTTTCAACACCGCCGAGAAGAGTGGTGCGTCGGCCGCCAGTTCGTCGCTGCCGCGCGGGGATTCGCCGAGCATCACGACACCCGCTGCGGAGGAGAGCGCCGATTGCGGTCGACGCCTGCCCCAAGTGCGTGAGTTTGTGGCAGCTGACGGCAATTGGAGTGCCTTTTGACGGCGCTTCAAGGCCGCCTACAAATCTGTCCGCTGGTTGGAGGAGGCGTTCCATTTCCCTGAAGAGGAAGACGATAGTCAAGGAAGCTTTTGAGGAGATGGCGGAGGTTTACGAGCTGCCAGACGACAGAACGAGCAAATTTCAGCACCGTAGGCATGGGAGCTCGGAGTTGCCCCTCCCCTACAGAAGCACTTTGATGACCTTGGCAGTTGATGCCTACCCCGACCTAAAACAGAAACTTTTGGATCCGCTGGTGATGGAACGCGTCTCCTACAGCCGACCGTCCACCTTCACGTTCCTCCACACAGGCGAGTTGGCACATGTCGGGCACCCGGGCACATTTGCCATCTCACTCATCTCATGTCATCGACGCGGGTCCATCTCATCAGGACGGTTCGCGGGATGGTTCGTACTCAGGTACCATTGCTAAGGGGTGGCCGGCTTCACAGACACAATGGAGGAAATTGGCTCATAGGGTGGTTGCCGCGGCGGCGGGATCCTTGACGGCCGCTGCCAAGATTCGGGGTGTGGATGTCCGCGTTGCAGCTAACGGGGGTAGTATGGGGATCATTGGCCAGGTTGATGTGTGTATCGCCATCGGGGACATTCAGGCATCGGGGCCTGTGTTGATCTCGTGCACGTTGGCCGTGCTTGTTGGGCACTGATTTTTTCCCGAGAATGCCGGTCAAGATTCTTGTGGACCAGGGTTGTCTTGAGCTGCCGTCGGGTCGTAGATTGCGTTTTTTGTCATCACCGCTTGTGTTGATTTTCGGCGGTTGAATAAGGCTTCTGTGGTGGACGCATATCCCCTGCCACGGATGGATAACTCCTTGGATGCTTTGTCTGGAGCACGGTTCTTATCGACGCTCAATCTATCTTCTGGATTTTGGCAATTGCCCCTCAATGAGTCTTCGAGGCAGAAGACCGCGTCCCGAACTCCACAAGGCCTCTTTCAATTTAATTGTTTGCCAGTGGGATTGAATGCCGCTCCTGCCACGTTCCAGAGACTCATGGAACTCGTCCTGGCCGGTCTCCAATGGGACACTTGCTTAATTTATCTGGACGACATCATTGTGTTCAGCCGGTCGTTTGATGACCACCTCCTCCGGCTGCATGCTGTTTTTGAGCGGATGCGCTCGGCAAATCTCAAATTCAAGCCTAAAACGTGTCACCTTTTGCAGACTTACGTTCGGTATTTGGGCCACATTGTGAATACGGACTGCATTTCCACCGATCCTACAAAAACGGCGTGCGTTTGCGACTGGCCGGTTCCCGTGAGTGTGGGAGATGTATGGAGCTTTGTCGGCTTCGCCTCTTATTACCGCCGGTTCATCCCTCGGTTCGCTTCCATCGTGAAACCGCTACATGCGCTCATGGCTAAAAATCAGCATTTCCACTGGGGACCGGAGGAGGAGGCTGCGTTCAATACCTTGCGGGATCGGCTGTCCGACGTGCCTACTCTCGACTATCCCGATTTTTCGTCTCCCTTCATCCTTGACACTGACGCCAGTGACACGGGCATCAGGGCTGTTCTGTCACAGATGAAGGGGGGCATCGTCGTTGCGTATGGTAGTCGGGTGCTCTCGCCGGCGGAAAACCTGCCATTGCGTCATTTGTCGGGAGTTGCTGGCGATCGTTCATTTTGTGCAATTTTTTGGCCCTACTTATATGGCAGGAGGTTTGTTATCCACACTGATCATGCGGCTCTCCAATATTCATTGAAAATCGAGCAGCCAGGTGGTCAGTTGGCATGCTGCTTGAAGTGCTTGCAGGAATTCACATTTGATGTCACCTACCGGAAGGGGACTCATCACGCTAATGCTGACGCGTTGTCACGGTTGCCACACGCGTCTCGCTGTGCTTGCCGCTCTGGCATAAACTGCTGTACTCCTCATGACGAGTCTCGACCCTTGGCCGTGTCCGCAGTTGAGACGCTTCCGGACGAGATGGGGGTTCCTCCTGCCAATTGGGGGGTTGCGCCTCACACGTTCGGTGTGGTTGCGTGAACAATTTTCTGATGACTCTTTGACCTCCTTGCGGGAACAGGCTGTACCATTCGCGGGTGATTCCGATTCTGTCAAGGAGGGTCGGTTTTTGATTCATGAGGGGTTATTGATGTGGTAGGATAACATGTCGTGCCGGCTTCGATTGGTTGTGCCGGAATCTCTCCGTGCGGGGCTGATCCGCACGTTGCATTGTGAACACCTTTTCCATCTCGGCATTCAGAAAACGTTGCTTACCCTGCAGAGGGATTACTATTGGCTGGGTATGACATCTGACGTCACTAGTGCACTTCCATCATGCACCGAGTGTGCCCGGAGGAAATCGCCCTGGCAGCGTTATATTCCGCCCTTGCAATCCATTTCGGTCACGCACATTAATGAATTGATTGCCTTGGATGTGTTGGGTCCGTTACCTGTGACACCTCATGGGAATACATGTATTCTCGTTGGTGTGAAATATTTTTCTCGTTGGCCTGTGGCTTGGCCCCTGCCAGATCAATCGGCTTTATCCATCATTGATGCTTTTGTGAATGGCTATGTAATGGATAAAGGGGCGCCGGAAAAGTTGGTCACCGATCAGGGTAGGAACTTTACTTCCAAGCTGTTGCGTGATGTTTGCTCTGTCCTGGGAAGATTTGTACGTCTCCCTACCATCCTCAGACGGACGGTATGGTCGAGCGCTAAAATCGAACCTTGTCCGCCATGCTATGCCAAACGGTCAATGAGAGGCAAGTTGACTGGGATTTGCAGGTACCTAGTGTCCTCTCTGCTTACCGAATGGCGCTTTACACATCTACAGGATACTCGCCGTTCTTCCTCATGTACAGGAGGGAGAACGTGCCGCCTGTTGATGTTCAATTGGGTTCCCCGGTTATACCTCCTAAGTCGACTCTTACTGACCATGTCCAAGAGTCCCTTAGACGGGTTTCAGAGGCACGGGAGGTTGCCAGGTTGAATGCCTCCAGGACCCAGGCTCGAAATGAACGTTGTGCGCGGAGGTCAAAAGAGGACATGCCATGGTCTGTTGGCGATGAGGCTTGGCTTCATTGCCCGCAGGCACCTCCCCCAAGCTCCAGAAACCATGGCAGGGGCCGGTGAAAATTATTGAGGTTTTGCGTCCTCAGTGTGTTCATCACGGCCGTCGGCGTTGGTTTGTTCACCCGTCGCGATTGAAGCCGTTTGTTGCTCCCATTGGGCCATCGTCTTCTCCAAATCCAGGGTTCCCGGTGCCTGACGTGGCCAACAGGCCTGCTGCCCCTGTGTAAGGTGATCCTCCGAAGTTTGTTTCTTTGCCGCCCACAGCGCCCTTAAGTGGGACGGCAGGACCAGCAGACGCCGCTACCTCGCCATGCCCACCTGCGCTGGATCCGGCTGTGTCACCCTCTACTGGACCACTGCTTCCACCTGCCAGTGTTCTGGTGTTGGTCCCGCCTCAGGCAGATGGGCCGGCTGCACGGACACGTTACAAGATGTCGCGGTTTTCTTGAAGCATTTGGGTTTAACTTGCGTGTCTGTTCCTATTCCGCATTGTTGTTGTCTGGCATCGATTGTTGGGGCATTCCTTATTCTTCTTATTCCATTCTGGTTTTTGTTGTTATGCTCAGTTGGGGGGGGGGGGGGGGGGGGGGTGATGTAATAAGAGAGCCCCATCTACTGAATTATTGTGGGGGTTAAATTACTTATCATAGAGTCCACGGTTTATCCATAGTTGGGATTATATCTGGGTTAAAAGTGATTGGGCGGATCTACCAAGGAAGCCTCTGGAACATTCCCAAAGGTTCCAGGAGGGGCGTGGCCAGAGGCGGGGCTCAGCCCACGGGGAGCGAATATAAGCCGGGGGTACAACAACGTTAGGGGTCGGTGCTTGAAGATCAAGAGGAGCTCCCCGTTGCTGCTGCCCCGCCATCTTCACCTGCCACATGGTGGCTCGACCTCCAGCTGCTCCCTAGCGCGCCAGCAGCCACCGGCGTGTTAGCGAGCGGGGTGAGGGCCACGTGGCGCGGGGCAGCACAGCCACGAGAGCGGGTCGACATCCGCGGAGAGAGAGAGAGAGGTGGCTGTACCGAAGATTTATAATAAAGCGCTTGAAGTTACTTACCGTGTCGGAGACACTCATTACACTAGTAAGGAACTGGCATGTTTCGTTTACGTGACAAACCTTAATAATTGACTGTGTCAGGCGGTGCCAGGTTTAAAGACACCATTATATTTACGCAAACTAACCCAAAAAAACCTCTTATGGATGCTGTATACAGTAGTCAATTATTAAGGTTTGCTCATATACACTGCTTTTAAAGTATTAACAGCAGTGGTGGCCAAAATGTGGATCGCTATTCATGGATGGATCGAAGGACAAAGAACAAATGTTAACTTATGCAGATATAGTGGCATGTGATGTATGTGTGTTGAACTTATTTTGCACCGTACATAGCCAAACGTGCTAATCAGAGTTTGCAATTAGCTTAAAAGATCAAAACAGCTGAAGAGACCTAAAACAAAAAGCTAATATACAGCCCAGAGTAAGCTCTCTGACTCTAATTTTCTTTTACATTTTTTTTTATTCTGGCCTCTTAAGATTATTTAACTTTTTCATTATATTTTCCCTTTACATACATGTTCTTATTGTCATACGAATAGTTTAGCATTTTCCTCTCTCAAACCAACGCATCAATAATTTTATTTCCGGCCTCTCATGCTTCCCCTCCCATCCCAACCGTCTCCTTCCCTCCTCTCACTCACACTCTTGATTCCTCTGCCCTCCACCTAAGTGTCACCTTTGACTCCTTCCTCACTTTCTCTACCCACATCTCCGCTACTACTTAGCAATCTACCACTTTCTTCTGTTCAACAACAGGACAATCGGCCCTCTCAACCTGCCGCCAAACTCCTGGTTCCTCCTCTGATCTTCAACCATTGGGACTCCTGCAGTTCTCTGCTTCTTGGTCTCCCTGCCTCTGCTCTCCCTTCCCTTGAACAAATTCAAAATGGTTCTGCATGAAGTTATTTTCACTGTGCTTTAATTCTCAGCACTTGGCCTCTCCTACTCTAACTCCGCTGGCTCCACGTCCACTACACCACTCTCTTTTCAAATACCTCACGCTCAGTCTTTACATGTCTCCATGGCCTTGCTCCACCTCATCTCGCCTTCCTCATCTCCTTATGCGTCCTCTCTGGTCCTCTTCATTCCAAATCTGCTCTCCGTCTCTCTGTTCCTCCTTCTCCCTGTGCCCTATTCCCGTATTCGGTCCTTCTAACCTCCTTGCACCCATCCACTGGAATAAACTACCCCTGTACATTGAGCAGTACTGCCCACAGACTCAACACTGCACCAAAGACTCAGCACGCCCATAGACTCAACGCTGCCCATAGACTCGACACTGCCCATAGAAATATATATATTTTTTTATTATTTTATTGTTTCCCTTCTACGTGACTTTACCGAAAGAACCAAGAATATGAATCCCTGCATTCACGAAAGTTTTAAATCAAAACTGCCCATAGATTCGACACTGCACCATAGATTCGACACTGCACCAAAGATTCGACACTGCACTAAAGCTTCGATACTGCCCGTAGACTCAACACTGCCCATGGACTCGACACTGCCCATGGACTCGACACTGCCCATGGACTCGACACTGCCCATAGACTCAACACTGCCTCTGTACATTATGGAGCCCCCCTCCGTACCATCCTTCCATTCCTCTCTTAAAGCCTCACCTTTTGTCTGTTGTCCATTCCCTTCCCTCGCCCCTCCGCTCCTTCCTGTCCCTCCCGTACCCTTCCATGAACCCTAAATACCCCTCTATCGCTGTGACTCATTCCTCAATTCTTGAGGCACGCCCCTGCCAACTAGAGGGCCTCCTCTACTTACTATACAGAGTTAGGTTCCAGAGGTCTCCACCCGATTCAAGAGCCGAATGGCTCACAGGGCTATACCAAAATAAACTGAACTGAAACTGAACTGTAAGTCTATTTGTTCGTAAGTCCAACTTTACTTCTGTAGATTCAAAACACGTTGTACGGCATGTATACTAAACACAGGGAATGGCCTTAAAAGTTGTATATTCTCTTGTAGATGTAGACGACACTGGTTCTTCTGTTCTGTAAATGTAGATGCCAACACCACAATCTATTGCGCAGTGGTTGAACTTACGACCCTCGGTCCAAATAGGTAACTTGACATACGGACAGGTTTGTTAGTATCTCTGTAAGTTCCTAAGTCGAATGTTTGTAAATAGAGGAGTCCCAGTACTTCATTTCTTTCTGTAATCGTTTTGTAAATTATGTAAAGCGCATTGAGTAAAAGCGCTCTATAAATATACGTACATTAGATTATAATGTGGCATGTGCCTTGAAGCTTGCGGCATGAAAGCCACTTTAAATAATGATTGTTAATATTTCCTACAAATTATATTCCAGTTGTATAATCAGTGTCGTATCATCAAGCGAACACATTGCCGATGGACATCTCACAGTGAGCATTACACGAGTCTTGCGTCAAAGAACGGCCCGGAAGATATCATCACAGAACTACTTCTGCAGTTGCTGAAATTTGCCTCTTTAGCCACAATAAGGTCACAACTCAAACATGGTTGGAATTAGCACTGGATTATGACGACACATAACATACAGGGGTTGTGTTTGAATGTAAGTTAATAACCCGTGTAAAATAAATGACAAATATTGTGTGCCAACAACACCTTACCTGAAGTCTGTAAACGAGAGTCTGATTTGTTTGTTTGCTGGAGAGTGGATCAGCCAAGTACAGTCTTCAAAGTTTCCATATACATTTGGGTAGTTCGGTGATGAAATGACTCCACTGGTCTCATTTAACTGTTTTCTACAAACATATGCTGAAAAAAATAAAACCCTTTAACTGCAAGCCTATTAGAGCACATTCAGTTGTCTAATTATACAATACATATGAGTGTGTACAGTATAAATATACCAGAAGCAGGCAGTATTTAAATACAAATTAGATATTTTCTAGATAAAATAATAAAAAACTCTTATTTGTAAAATACTTGAGTGCGATAGTCAAGTATATCATCATAGATAAGTGAAGATTTATTGTATTTTAGTTCTCCTGTCTATATTTGTTTGAGAAAAATCGAGTGACAGGAACTATATTTGTGATCCCTCTGTGAAGTGCTTTGCTCTATTTAAGACCACCAAACCCTACCTATATAAAACACAAAACATTACACATTTAAACGTATAAATTGCAATACAAATTTGAATTCATGCTTTGCCCAAGAACGTCAGGACAGGTGCAGAACAATGGGAATATTTTTTTACGGAGAGGCAGTCGGCCATGGACAGAGGAAAAAGGAAAATCTTGAGCCTGGACTTGAACGGTGGGCAGGGAATCGACGGCAGAGGAGGGAATTCTCCTCAATGAGGGCAGTGGAGAGGAATGAGCCCACCTCCTTATCATCACGTGAACATTTATAGCGGTAGCCAAAGACTCTAAATGCATGTTTCTAAATGTGGAGGAGGGATAAAAAACTGTAGAACCTGGAAAAAAATCCACGCCACCACGGAGAGAGAGAGACATGCAAACTCCAAATATACAGCAGGCGTCATGGTCGGAATCGAACCCACGACCTCCTGTATACCAGGCGAGGTAGTTAACATCTCGCAGCCGCGACTGGAGACTTAAAAGGCGTACACCTTGGTTGCTGTAGCAGACAGCGCATGGAGGGGAGCAAAGCAAGATGAGGGAGGGGCGAGTCTGTTGAGGAATTTGAGGACGGTGAGTGCAATCTTGGCGTTTGAGCAATACCTTCAAACCTTCCACTAAATGTTGCATTTTTTCGCTGAAGCCCTGGAAGGTAAATGGCAACTACAGGACTGCCTTGCAGGGTCATGTTTATGGACCCGATGCGGCAGAAATAGTCCTGCATATTCAACTGGCTGCCGTATCCATTTGACATTACAGCACCCACCATATTGCTCGAGGAGCAACCCTCCGTGCTGTTCTGCTCTGATGGGCTGTAAAAGATGCAACGCAACAGCGGCATTAGCGACAGAAACAAGGTGAGACCTCAACTTAAAGCACTTTACATGGATGTGTTCCTCACATCTGCATCCATAATAGTGGTTCCGGCGTGAGTTGAATCAAACAAACCCGCTTAATTCCAGGAAAATTCGGAATTTCTTGTTGGAGCTGCCATTGATAGTCCACAGGCAGAAGTCGTTGTCACTTTGTGAAACGTGGGGGATCTCCAGGCGTCCTTCGGAGGCACTGATGAATTCGAAGCACGGACGGGGAGCTAAGAAACACAAGAGGCTGGCATCATGCGAATACGATTTCATCACGGAAATTAGACGATATTTTAAAAAGGAATTAACACTTGTGGTATACATTACATACACAGTGTAAAACTGATAGTATCTGCAACTACATTATCCATCCGTATTAGTATCTGCAGGCTCCAAATTATTTACGGATACTGCATTGGCAGTGGTGCACAAGCACAAATTACAAAACATAAATCACATTCGTCAATAACACTATGGCCTTAAAAGTAAAATATATAATAGGTGACGTTTTTAGGGAAATGGCCTTTCTTCAAAGCACACAAATAGAGAGGCAGAGAGATGGAATGGATATAAGTTGGAGACTGCACTCTGAACCATTTGAGCATCAAAGGGGCTGGCAAATCAGAATCTTTACTTAGACTGGAGGAGGAATCCGATGAGCTATGAAGCTCTTTTCACAGATGTCCCAGTATAGGCACAGGGTCAGCAAATGATCAGAGGGACGTTTGAAAGTCTTTTTGATCCGAACATTTCTTGACAGCCTCTCTAATTATATTTAAATGGCAATCGGGCCCGTGAAATGCATCGCGAAATGGATTTCGTGGACAGTGGTATGTTTAACCTCATTGCAAAAATCGTTACCCATCATGGAACGTACCTTCAACATTTAATATTTTTCCATTTTAATACAAATGGGCTTTGCTTGTAATACTTTTCTGGTTATTGAAGGATTTGTTAATAAATAGGTACTAATAGGTAAGTATTGAAATGCGAATTTTAAAAAGACATTCAATAAACATATATGTTATTCGTATCAGGCCCCATGGCGTAAAGGGAAGTCTGCAACCCATATCCACTCTCTCTGGCCTCACTATTATGCTCTGAAGGCCAATTTCCTGAAACATCGTCAAGTACATTTCCTTTTAAGATCGTGATATCGATGAATGTGTTGACAATGTTCATGTTTCGTGGTTCCACCAGCAGAAAAATAATTTGGTATGCTAACTTTTTGTTAATTCGATAATGGATGCACTGAATGGTGGGAATTCTTTTTTTCTTCCTTCCATTTGGAAAACCAGTTGGTCCCATCCAGCGTGTGCACGATGATGAAATCCACTACTGCCCCTAACACATTTTCCCTGCTGGTCTTAATAGGTGCTCACCAACAGCACCTACTATTAACACCACCTACCCTTTGGGTCTCAATTGTAAATAAATCTATGATGTTAATAACTACGTAGGTTTGCAGAAACTACGTAGTTGGACTTACGTGCCTGTGCTGTTTGTGTTTTCGATTATTTACCTTTTAAAAAATCCTGGCCATGTCTCGCACCCCCAGGGGGTGCATGCACCCTGGTCCAGAACCACTGAGTTAGAGGATCTACATATCTGGCGTGTTGCTTGGCCCTGGAATGGACCGTTATGGTGGCTTAAGTTGTTTTCCTGGAGACTGGGAGATCATTGATCCCAATGTTCAATCACTGGGTTGATGGTATTAGTCGCGCTTGCTCACGTAATAGAGGCAGCCATCTTCCACTTGGTTAAACACTAAGACTGCCAATTTAGTTTTATTGACTACCACAATCATAATGTTTATGTATTTGATATCCTTTCTGTATGTCTCGCAGCCCCAAAAAGGGCATCTCCCACCTTCAGGGGTTGCGTGCATCCCATGTTAAGAACCATTGATGCATGCATTCGAGCGTGTTTATCTGAATTAGCACGTTGTGTTGAAATTAATACTATGGATGGCTGTCTATGTCAGTTTGTCTGTGGGGATCGTACGTTGGACAGATAATCCCGTATTGAGCTGAATGAAAATTGTTGAACAAACCTTGAGGGCATTCTCCATCAGACAGGGTTACATCGTCTATGCCTACTAGGTAGATTGCTTGCATGTGTGCGTTGGCCACGAACTCAAACTGCAATGAGAATGCACAAACACACCGTTGCAGTGAGCGTACACAGCAAACCCTCTCTATTCGCGAAGGTTACTTCCTCGAACGTATTCGCGAATGCAGAATTCATGAATGTTTAAGATTTTGGAAATCTTTTTGGTAACGCCTGCTATGTATGGCAAAGTTATGGTTTTGGTTGGATCCTCTGAAGGTTTTCTCTCCATGGCTGGGGAGGCAGCTTTTTTTCCAAAAACACAGGATCCAGGTTCGTTTGAACACAGTACACAAAATCCGTGATTTAATCCCATCTGTAAAGGATGTGATTCCTGACATGCAATACCCTGGTGTCTCCAAACTGAGTTGTGGTTGTGGCAGCAGTTGCATTGGGGAAACGAAACGACATGTCTCGGACCGCATTCGTAAACACAAGGCAGATCTGAAACACGGTAGGACCAATACCTCTGCCGTTGCCGATCATTGTTTTAACGCTGTGGGCTCACACGAAATGTATTTTTCCAAGACGGAGGTACTCTGCAAACCTACCGGCTACCTTCAGAGATTTGTTCATGAAGCCATCCAGATATACAAACACAGACACAACTTCAACCGAGAGGATGGGTACAAACTGAGCAATCATTGGAAGGACGTTATTAACCAGGTATAGTCTTAACTGACTGTGATGTTTCCATCCTACCTGCCTTTTTCAGCTGTTATTTCATGCTAATCTCTCACATTAACATAGCCACTTCCGTGCCCTCATCCAGGAGGCCGCTCTCCTACTATCTTACAGTTACATGCTAATTTCTCACATTAACATCACTAGCCCCGGCCACTTCTTTATGACTCTTGAGCTACACCCATTTGAAACCTTTTAAAACAGTGTGCCTCAGCTTCAGACCATGCTTTCCCACCTGATGACGGACGCTTGTGTTGCGCCCGAAACGTCGTGATTCATTTTATTGTATACCTACGTGACTTTACCGAAAAAAACAAAGAGTATGGATTCCTGCAGTCACGAAAGCTTAAAATCAAAACAATACATTATTAAGAACGTGTTTAAAAAAATAAACTTTGATGATGATGACTATGAAGGTGGTGGTGGTGAGGAATTCAGGAGGATGACCCATTGGAGATGCAGGTGTTTGATTACAATGCCACACAGCTGTTATAATTTTAGCACTCTGGGGAACACGAGCCGCAACACTTTCCCCGATTGCATTCGCGTTCTTTTTAATGGACCTCATTGTCAACTCGTTTATACCAAAATGTATAAACGAGTTGGCTGTCAGTACGTGTAAAGTAAAAATGCACAATAGCGAGTTCAGAGCAGGATTACTGTGAGAGACTGAGGATTAAGCGGGGAGCCGAGGTAGCATGCCTTATCATCGCGGGCAGTTTCAAATGTAAAATTCTTCTTACACCTCCCTGGTGTCGTGCACTCGCGGACGCTGGAGTCCGACGGGTGTCGCGAGTAGGGAATTAGTACACATTTAGTCACTCGGAGAAATGTGCGAAACTCTTGAATTCAAGAAGTCACGTACCCTCAGACTCGCGCGGCTCTATAACCCTCACCTGGTAGTTGGTGTAGTTGATGTTGACAAGTGCCCTGCCCCAGCGTGCATTCATGCCCTGGAGGGGGGAGGCCTCCCACAGGAGAGAGCGCTGCGCGGAGTCCGTGTCCGTCGCGTACAAGGCCAGCGAGGAGTTGCTATTTGCAACTATGCTGAACCAGAAGCTCAGGCACCTGGGGCCGTTCTGATGTGTCATGAGAGGGCCCAGCAGAGTCGACATGGAGTTGTACATATATTGGTTGATGCCCAGGAAAGCACGACCTGGAAAAAGAGTGAAATAAAAAAAAAATTACATTGTATAATTCAGCACAGTAGGCATGGTTTGAAATATACACAATTTTATATATACACACAGAGAAATACCTTGATAACAGGGATTATATTTGAAAACTACTATGAGCGTACTCTTTGAACAGGTTATTTAACATCACAGAAGGCAGGTTTATGCACGGTTCTAGCGGTGACACTGTGGGAAGCGAGACGGACAGAGGCTGTGTGCAGAATTTGTTGCCAGCCAGCAGGGCCTCATCCGTCGCTCTTTTGAGCACGAGTCGGGCCTCCACCACTTTACGAAAACGATCGTTGCCCGGATGACAATAATATAAGACTCGGAAGCAAAGTGAGAAATCTCAACACATTCGACCATAATACCGTGGCCTCGTTGGAGAAATGCGTACATAACAGGCAACGTTTTGGGCAATGCCAGGAATTGTTTCCCACGTGCTTCTTAAAAGCCACGTAAAGTATCATGTGCCTTGAAGAAGGGCCAATGCCCTCGTAGAAAATGATTTATCCAGCATCGACAGAAAACTGGCATACAGGAACAATTTGACCTCCCTGCTGCCTACGGCATGGTTTGGCGCTATGGCCTGCTGCTGGAGTTGGTCAAAATCATCAGATGCTCAGCCACAGTCCTCTCAGAGTATACACCTCGCTGGAAAACACAGCCGCAAGAGAATGCTCAACATTGGCCTCCCACGAGCCTTGGAACTAGCATATTCATTTAACACAAGTGACCTACCATGTATGTCATCTCACAAGTTAATATATGATGACATCACCCTTGCTGGCCCAGGGCACGAACCTCAAGAACATTTCCAAAACTATTTAACGGCTGATCTAATAGTTCTTGGAGGCATGGTTCCATCGCTGGAGAGACACTCCGACCAAATCCTTCCAAAACCACGACAGGTGCGTTCCATCTGAACAATTGTGCAGCAGATGCCATCATCGATGTTTCTTCTCTGTGGCAGCCCAGTGCCATACACAAGAGTAGAATAGTAATGTGCAGGAGTTACATCCCATAATATGTATTACCGTGCAAAGGCTTGAGTTGTATCAAGTGTACAGATTAAAAAATAGATATTTTTTGTATACAGTTGCATTCATTTTAATATGTAAATATTGTAGATTACAGTATTATATGCACTTAAGCATTATAAATATGAATATTGGGATGTGTTCTGGTTAATCAGTGTTTGATGGAGGATAAGAATGGTCAGGTGATAAACACTTCAGTACTCTCACACAGCATAGGATTTACAGCAATGATATTGAAGCATTCATACAACGTTATAGCACGATGTATATGTAGAGGTGTTAACTACGCACTGTTGCGTAACCCGCATTGCCACCAGGGCAGTGCAGTATTACCTCTGGGTGCAACGGTTGGGGTCGAGGTGAAACGGATCATAGCCAGGGTTTGGTATGAACCAATCAGACGGTTCTACGTGGGAATGTATGATTGGTTCTGCCTGGCCACGAAGGAGTATAAGACGGGTGACCCAACAGACCTCGGGGAGTTCTCTCCCTACACGAAGACAGAAGACTGGGCTGAAGCCTAGCTAGGACCCTGGACCAGCCATCCAGCCCTTCTAAGGGCTAAGGCTCGGCATACCCAGTGGTCAGGATCCACCGGGCCAGCAGTGGGTCAGATAGCCTCCCCTAGGTCCTAGCCGGAGGACGCTAGGCTAGGATAGCGGTAGACGTGTGAGTCCCGCCAAGTCCGGAGGCTGTACCTCCTTAGGTATCAAGGAGGTTAGCGGTAGATGTGTGAGTCCCGCCAAGTCAGGAGGCTGTACCTCCCTAGGGTATCGGGTGAGGAGACCGTATATCCCTCTTTGTGTGTTAAGGATTGTATGAGGGAATAATACAATGAACAGAGTGTGCCTCCTAAGAAGTCTGCTCGTCCTTACAACACTACATATATGAACCGTGTGTGTGGTGTACATTTATTGAGATACCCACTGTGTGGAAATAGGCTCAGTATTGGCAATCCGTTGACACTGTTGTATTGAATTGCCGTCCACTGAACGGCATTTTCATATTTGTTTTGCCATCCGCAGAATCCTTGCTCAAAGTCACAGCCGAGCAATGTTGATGGTTCTAAGAAGAACAAGATAAATATTGTATTAAGACGGTGGGCTACGTACGGCGCAAAAGAAGTTCAACATACATACATACAACAGGAACATTTGTATAATTTGGTGAGTTTTGCGTCAAATGTAGTTCTTTAATTGTAAATTCAGACCATCTTCGTTTTCATTGTTGGCATTTCTGGTACCTGTACGAACAATTTACCATGAGGCCACACTGACAGTGCTGATTAAACCAGGCGCTGTGCCATTTAACAAAGCGGCTGATCCCGCACTATCAACAATAACGTACGACTCGTTTAGCCGTGGTGTCGTGTGAGCTGGATGGAACATGTTGAACCCCTCCTCCCCTTCTCTTTCGATTTTCATTTTTCCAGGTAAGGCTCACTGAGCAATATAGCTCTTATTCAAAAGCAACCTGGCCACAAATGATAGCTCATCCGAGTGGCTCACTTTATCAAAATGTTTCGCAGACAAATACTCTAAACGCATGATGTTGATTCTAAATGTGGAGGGAAAACCGAAGGACACGGAAAAAATCCACTCGATCATGGGGAGAGAGACATGCAAACTCCAAATATACAGCAGGCGTCAGAGTCGGGATTGAACCCACGACCCCCTGCATACCAGGCGCAGGAGATAACATCTCACCACCGCGGGGCCCCAAATTAAAAATTCTTAGTAACATTTTTTTTACAACAATATTAAAAACCCAGTTCAACTGTTTGGAAAACACCCATTAACATAAGAAAATAACGGGGGCTGGACAAGTGAAACAAATTAGTTGAATTAACCATTGAGCATCGCACAAATTTATAAAATGAATGTGTAGCTGTGGTGCCATAGCCACGGAGCCACTCTGCCAACCCGCTCGCAAACACCCCACACGAACGCATGCAACCCAGGGACCTCTGGTCCCTGGGTTTTCACCCGGGAGCCCCCCTCGTGGGGGTGTTCCACAGTTTCCCAGAGCCAGGGAATTGACAGTCCCCCACCAGGTCGAATGGCACTGCGGCGCCATGGATTGGCTTCAAATTGTATGGCGACGGCAACCCACTGAGCAGCCGCGGTGAGAGCACACCCAACACAGGGGAAGGGGGGGGAGCCTGGGAGGGAGCCGAGCTTCCAGCGGGCAGCAGGGCAGGCAGCACGAGTAAGGGGGCAAGCGTGTAGACAATGGACTAGGGCATCGTGGGGGGGGGGGGGGTGCTGAGCCACGTGGTGGGGGCAGGGCAGCGAGCGGGCTGAAGGTACTGGGGATTAGCGCGCGCTTACGGCCATCGTCTGTATTTTCCATGGGGGAATTAGCGCGCGAATATCCTCATCAACGCGATCACCTGTACCCACGTGTTAGCGCTCGCCTATGCGCGTTTGCACCGGGAATTAACGCGCGAATCTTATCATCCTTAATTCACCGTGGTGCTTGCGCTCGCGCGCATGCTTACACGGCACGCTTTACGCAGTGTGTCCGCATACAGTGAGGGAAAAAAGTATTTGATCCCCTGCTGATTTTGTACGTTTGCCCACTGACAAAGAAATGATCTGTCTATAATTTTAAAGATAGGTTTATTTGAACAGTGAAAGACAGAACAACAAAATCCAGAAAAACGAATGTCAAAAATGTTATAAATTGATTTGCATTTTAATGAGGGAAATAAGTACTTGACCCCCTCTCAATCAGAAAGATTTCTGGCTCCCAGGTGTCTTTTATACAGGTTACGAGCTGAGATTAGGAGCACACTCTTAAAGGGAGTGCTCCTAATCTAAGCTTGTTACCTGTATAAAAGACACCTGTCCACAGAAGCAATCAATCAATCAATCAGATTCCAAACTCTCCACCATGGCCAAGACCAAAGAGCTCTCCAAGGATGTCAGGGACAAGATTGTAGACCTACACAAGGCTGGAATGGGCTACAAGACCATTGCCAAGCGCGCCTTGCACAGTGTGTTTACGTTGCGACGCTCGCGTTAAGTGGGTCGGCGTGTGCGAGATTCAAGCACGTGGTTGTGGTTGTTGTGGTGGTGGTTATTGTGGTGGTGATTGTGGTGGCTGTTGCTTGTGTGTTGAGCTCCCCTGAGAGGTACGCACACGCATATTCATACGGCTATTTTTAGCGTGTGCACGAGGTGGCCAATAGGTGCGGGTGGCTGCGCGTGCCCGAGTGTGGGCAGCGGCGTGCAAGGAGTCTTCTCCGAACATTTGGGGGGAATGTACGTGGGGAGTGGGTGTGGATAACCCGAGGTGGCCGAGAGCCAGCCAAGAGTCATGCCTCACAGGGGGGACGCGGAGGCAGCGAGGCCGAAGCTACGAGCAGCAGCAGCGCGGAGGGAGGAAGAGGAGGAAGGGGGAGAGGAGTCGGGGAGCAGCAGCCCTCCCACGAGTGAGGAGCCGGGGGGCAGCAGCCCCCACATAGCCACCTCGAGATCAGTGGGGGGTTTACGTGGGGAGTGTGTGGGATAACCCGAGGCAGCAGGGAACCAGCCACCAGTCATGCCCCACAGAGAGGACGCGGAGGCGGCGAGGCCAATGACCCGATCGGCGGCAGCGCGGCGGGAAGAAGGGGAGGAGAAAGGGGGAGAGGAGGAGGGGAGCAGCAGCCCCCACATAGCCATTCGTCATCCAGTGATGCCTGCTGAGGGCTCTCAACCTGAGCCACCCCACCACCTCTTGTAGGTTTTGGTTTCTGCTCCGGCGTCAGTGTGTATTTGCCATTGCACTACTCATATAGTTTGCGACGCAAATCCATCAGTACATGAACAAAACAACAAAAAGCAAACCTGAAGCCTTGTAAGTCACATTAAATGGTCCATATGTGATTAATACGACTTTATTTCCAAAGGAGAGGACATTTATGTTTCCACAGTAATTATTATTGACAATGGCCAAAGTCGGCCCTTTGATGGACTGGCCTTCATGGATTTCAACATTCCTGAAATACAAAATAAAGATCAGTTTGTTCGCATCACCATACGGTACATCTTCAAAAAGCCATACTCGAGTAAGTCAGAATTCGGGGTAAGGCGACATGCTTTCTTACCTGGACACTGTGCATTAATTAGGCTGCGTTTGGTAGATGATATACTTAGATGCACTAGATATTATAGTTGTATGCACATACAATAATTATCGATTGTATGGAATTCAGTTAAGTTATTCCTGTGGTGCTTCGTCTGTGCTCTCTATTGTGTTTCGCATGTATCTCATTGCACAAAATAAATGCCTTCATTCACCTCAGACGTGGGTTTCTTGGGGCATGAGGACGTCGATATTATTAATCTTCAAAATGTTTGCAAGATACTCGCACTTTGCCCGGCAAAGTCCCCCAGCGCTGAGTTAGAGCAGTGGCTCTTAACCTTTACTGCAGCCTCCATCGTAATTTTTTATAATGTTAATAAATACATAGGGTTTGATGAACCAAAGTAGTTGTACTTTCATGCCTGTGCTTAATTTGTATTTCCATTATTTACCTTCTAAAAAAATCTGGCCATGTATCACATCCCCAGAAAGAGCATCTCGCACCCGCAGGGGGCGCATGCACCCCAGGTTCAGAACCACTGAGTTAGAGGATCTATCTGGCGTGTTGCTTGGTCCTGGAGGTGACCGTTGTGGTGGCTTTAGTTGTTCTGGAGACTGGAAGATCATTGATGCGAATGTTCAATCGCCAGGTTGATGACATGAGTCGCGATTTCTCATGTAAAAGAGTGGGCCTGTGTGAAGGCTGCCATCTTCCACTTGGTTAAACACTAAGACTGACAATTTTGTTTTATTGATAACCACAATCAGAATGTTGATGTATTTGCTATCCTTGCTGTATGTTGCTATCTTGATGCACTCATCAGTGGTACTGGTTACTGTCTACGAGTATATTAACAAATCAGCTACTGAAGTGCATTTACCGGCAGAAGGTTCCATTCAAGATCACAGCTTTGTCCGGACTTGTTTCAATGAGCCAGTAGCAATCGTAGCTACTGAAGGAATCATTCCCAGAAATGAAACCTTCAGTCCCATTAAATACACCACCACAAGTCCCTAGAGAAAACAAAAACAAAGCAGTAAACCTTACCAATTACAAACTTATTGGAGCTTAAAAAAACGTTAATTTAAAAGCGCATTTTAAATTCACAACACAGTACTTTTATAACCACGTTCATAAAGTATTTAAAAAATCTTGATGATACTATATTTTTTTATTTTACCAGGCAAGGCCCACTGAGTGATACAGCTGTTTTTCAGAAGCGACCTTGCCACAATAACTCAACGAAATGGGCTCACGTGGACATTTATAGCAGGCAAACACTGCTAAATGCATGTTTATAAATGTGGAGGGCAAAAACAGGAAACCTGGAGAAAAATCCACGACCACAGGGAGAGAGACCTGCAAACTCCAAATATACAGGGATCAGGATCAGAATCGAACCCATGAACTCCTGCATACCATGCAAGGCAGATAACATCTCGCCACCGCGGTGCCCTTTGTGCTATCTCATACTACCTCATGCTATTAAAACGTCGGAATCAATTGGAATTGATCCAAATCCACCCAAGCAGAGGGCTGTTTTATGTTAGGGCCTGATCCGCGCCACTGGCAGACTCGGATTAACAAAAGCAGGTGGTGTGGGGTAGCTAGCTAGCGATTAGAGGGGTAGTCCCAAGGGAGGGGATAGGCAGGGAGAAAGTATTGGGTGCCATTCTTGCAGTGCAAGGGGGTGCGGCACTGTAGGTCAGGCAGAATAGATTATTGTCGTGTGACAAACCACAATTGTCTGCAGTAAGTAGGTGTGCCCATCTGGTGTTGGACAAGCGAGGGATAGTCGGTTGAGTTTGGCGCCTGTTGAGCTTGCCACCTTCTGAATGTTGAGTCAAAAAATGCTCTGCCCACAGTGCCACCTCGCCATATTCCTCACTTGCAATAATGTTGCCTCTATCACCGACGACAACCGACTGCAAAGAAAAGTGAATTACCTTGGAACCAGTTTTGTGAAACTCTGAAAGCAAATGCTCCAGAAGAATTCCTTTCACCGGATTTCAAGACCACCATCATGCTGCCACGGGACTGCGGGCTCTGACTGGGACGGCTGTTGCTGCACAGTGAGTCCAGGATCACAGAGTGTACATTTTCTCCGTTGTAAATGGTCAGGGAATCTCCCACGCACCTGCTGGGACTCTGCCCTTGTGATGAATTGCCAGCATCCATCCTGCACAAAAAGACAAATACAAAGACCCCCCGTGTAGCCTTAACAGACTGTTGGGGCAAGTTCTGTTAACGAGTTGTGCCTATGAAGGTTGGCACAGCACACGAGGGGGTGGGTGGCCAGCACCATTTAGTCATTAGGAGTACAACTTTTTGAGCAGTCAACAGCATGAGTGGTATGGAGAGACTGATACCAGCAACGGGTATGTTGAATATTAAGTTCTGAATTGTTTATGGAGTAACTTACCTTTAACTGGAAGATGTACAAGCTACATTTTCAACAAGTGGACCTCAGCTGAGACTGGCTCATCCTCGAGGTTGAACACTGCAATGACTTGAACATCCTTCTATAGACCACCTCTATGTATGTGTAGTGTTCTTCACGGAGGCACACACTTGACTTGGAGGCAACACGTTTATTACACAGTCGAACAGGGCTAACTACACAACGTACACACGTTAACTAGACCCCAACAGGGTAACTGCATAACCGGGTCAGTCAGCAACGTCCTGACTGACTCACGATGCCGAGCAAAGACCGAAGACCGGAGAGAAGTAGCGCCGAGGATTGATTCCAGAGAACAGCCAAGAACGCTCTCGGGACTGCCCCGTTATGCTCCTGAGCGTGGCCTTGCTCCGCCCTCGGCCACGCACCCTTCGGGATCTTTCCCGAAGGATCCAGACCGAGCATCACGTGCCCCTCAAGCCCTTTCGCTACCCTGTCTGGGTCACGTGCCCTCTCGGGTTCACCCAGACTACCCCATCCTCACTTGCCCTCTCTCAGGTCGTCACCAGGACTATGCCCCCTAGGGCCTGCTCGCATGCCGTACTTACTCTGGCCCCCGAGAGAGGTCCCAGATGCACAGTAGCACTCTTGTGACAGTGGCTAGCGCTAACACCATAGTGACACCATTAACGTCACTACATATGTAAGTTGAACTTCTATCGCAGCGTACGTGTGACACACGGACTCATCGGCATTACCCACCTGAAATCCATGAATGACAGTGAGATGCCACGGCTTGGTGCCTTGAAGATCCAGACGCAGTCCAGGTTGCTGGGGTAGCCGTTGGGGTAGTTTGGAGACAGTATTAACAGGTTGCTGTCTATTATATCTAAAACGCCTCCACAGTGGATATCAGCTGAAACACAACACAATCATTGCATGTGATTAAATTAAGGTTTAAGGTTCCTTTAATCGTTGGGTGTGATGGCATAAGTCATTTCCATTTCTTCAAATGCCATTGTAGAGCATATGCTTCTTTGGAAACCAACGTATTCGTTTTGTACACACACACACTTGAAGTTTTTCTCTACCCTGCTCATCATATTCAGTCCTCTGCAGTTTGAAAGACTCCTGATTTGAAGTGTGTTGGCCAAATAGATGAGGCAAAGAAGAAAGCCAACGTATGACCACCAGGACAGACAGCTACATTTGCTCATGCGCGTGTTGTTTCCCTATCACTGAAATTATGCACCCAATGTGACAGTGGCATAGGCACCTGGTGTAGCATAGAAATCTCCTTGTAGGTACAGCCAACCGTTGTTGTTCTTTGTGACGACAACCCGCACCGATTCAGTGGAGGACACGTAGTTGTACAAATACACATTTCCTGGTAGGTCTGTGACCTGATTCAGTGGGCCGTCATAAATCTGAATGCTGTTGTTGTAGTAGTTGTTATACCTGCAACACAAGAAAAAATAGTTTTCACTACAGTGTGACCATGTGATAGAGGTTTCGCAAGCAGTCCTTGACTTACAAACACCCGACATACGAACACCCGCACTTACGAATGAGCTTCCTGAAGATATTAATTTTGTTATAACCATCCAACGTGCAGACGCGAGCTCCTACTTGCGAACTGAACCGCGGAACTATTTTGTTCAGCGGAGCGATCCTTCGCGAGATGTAATGAGTCCCACCATCCTGCTGGCAAACATCATTGATTCGTGCCTGTGCACGTGTGTGTGGGGTGAGCGGTAGTGTAGTGATTCCCGCTCACGGCCAACATCGGTGGCGATTATTTGAACCGGTCCTGGGCCTCCCCTAGGTCGACGCAGCCTCAAATGAGTACCTGGTGCGGTGTGTAAACATCGCCACTAGGGAGACAAAGGCGGTCGGGCATGGTGCTGGCCACCTCGTGTGCCGTACCGGCCTTAATAGGTGCTACTCGCCAGCAGCACGTGCCCTAAACGTCCGTTTGGCTATACGGAGGATCTTTGTGTTTTGTGAGTGTGTGTGCAATGGTTAGTGTGTTGCGCTACGAACCCGGTTACACAAGTTCGATTCCTGCTTATGATCAACTGTGTCTGGTGAGGTGTTTAAACATCACCACTGTGGAGACAAAGGCGGCCGGGCGTGGTATTGGCCACCCACCTCCTCGTGTGCCATGTCGGCCTTCATCGGCGTGCGCACGCGTGTTTCCGTGTGTGTGTGCATTTGTGGTGACTCTTTGCACCCGTTCTGACAAGCATCAAGACTCAAGGTAAGTGGAAAAAAATATTATTCTCATGTTACTTTATTTAGTTTAATTTTCTATACAGTATATATATCACAATATTACATGTACAATGTTTTTTTTTTACCGTCACCGACCGTATGGGGCATTTAAATGCTGTACATTGTCTTCCGAGTTACGAACCATTTCACTTACGAACGGGTCTCAGGAACGAAACTCGTTCATGGGTCGGGGACTGCCCTAATGCTTAATGCTGTGGCAAATGTATGTTTAACATTTCTACGTAACGAACCCTCAGCCAAATCCACCATCTTGACTTTCCTGGCTAATGCCCCAGCATTGTTCCGCCGATGCAGGTCAGCTAAGTGAGGTATAAACCGTGGGTTCTGTCTTTTACTCGACGTTTTTTTAAGGGTGAATCAGCATTATTGGAATTTATAAATAAGCTATTTTCAGCATCTGCAATACATTTCAGCAGAATTTACCTTGTTACAATAATTTTATGGGGCAAGTTCAGAAATGCAGTCCATCGAATACACGCCAACGAACAATTATCAATGATGTTATTACCGAAAATACCCACAAACCATCATTTATTTGGAGAAGTTGTAAGTATTATATCTAGCAGTGAGGGCTTTTTCTCGAATTTGTATTTCACTGGGACAAGTAGGTTATGTTCTCAGGTTAATGGCAGAGAGGTTACAAGTTTAAGGTACATGGTAATGTATTTTGGATCCAGTTCAATTTCTAAAATATGAATTTAAGCACGTGATATCAAATTTTGTAGCTTCAAACCTATTAGACTTCTTACATTTAAGTGTATACATACGTATGGTGTTAGTAAAGTAGGAGGAAAAGTAAACAGGGTTAAATGGGAGAAATTGATATTGGACTTGCTTCTATGTCACACATAAGACAGGAATAATTGTGTAGAGGAGTAATATGGGGATGTGATGTCATACGCGCTGTGAGCTGTGATGACGTCATGTAACCTGGGGGTACTTAAGGGGGGCCCCGTGACGAAAGCGGGGTCGTTGGTGGAGTCCAGGATGGAGAGCGGTTGAAGGGAGCTGAAGAGACAGCCAGGGGTAGAGCTCGAGAAGTCTGTAGAAGCCGGCTGGTAGTTACGGAAGGCGAAGAGACAGCCAGTAGGCTAGCAGTAGAGAGACCTAAGGGTTCAAGGGAAGGACCAAGTGTAGGACACCTACCCCTGGTGGTTAACTACTTTGTTAATAAACCGGCGCAAGCCCTTACTTGAAGACCTGCCTCAGCGTCGTCATTTACCACACAACTGGTGCCAGAAGTGATTCCTACCTTCGCCGCCACTTCGAAGTCGGGGGCGGGATGGAAGAACCCGCCTGTTGTGGAATCCGATGGCGAGGACAGCATGGAGGAGGTCCCCGCAACATCCCCGGAGACCGGGGCCCCAGAGATATGCCCCGTGGAGCCAATCCGCCCGGAACAGGAGGAGATGGCGGCCGTGGGTGGCTCCTCACCGCCGCCGGACACCTGGCGAGTCCTCTCGAGCCAGATGGACCTGCTTCTCAAGGCGGTCGCGCAGCTCCCAGTCACGGTTGCCGAGGTGGGAACACGGCCGCGCGCACCCAACACATTTTCGGAACGGATTCCTGCCATGGCGCTTCCCGCCTCGGTTGAAATTGGTGCCATCACTTCATCGGACGCGACGCGGGAGTTGGACTCTGTTGCCATACGGGACGCGACACAGCATTCGGGCGCCATTTTGGCCGTGACACCGCAACCGGGCGCCATTTTGTCTGCGACACCGCAACCGGCCGCCATTACCGACGCGACTCGACATCCTAGCGTCGCTACGGCTTCCCGAGCGACGCCTCCGCGTGTGCCGTGGATACGTCTTCGCAGGTGTTAACATCCGACGGCCAGAAGCTCCGTCGCTTGCCACCCATCTGCCCATTTATCGCGACAGAAGGCGATTGGATGGCCTTCCAGGACCAGTTTGATGCGGCGTATGTTTCTGTTGGATGGCCGATGGATGAAGCTCTTAAAGTGCTCCCCACAGCTCTTGATGACAGGGCTTTAGCTACTTATAAATTCATCCCACCGGCAAATAGGGCGACGCTTCCAGCTGCATACGCGCAGATGGCTGCGATTTTCGAGCTGCCTTCTAGTGCGCGCCTTAAGTTTTCACTGCGGAGGCGGGAGGAGGGGGAGCCACCACTCGCCTTCCGCAGCTCCCTGCTGGCGCTGGCACGGGCAGCCTACTCCAACCTTGAGGGGGCAGCGCTGGACTCGCTGGCCCTGGAGCGCTTGCTCTCCCTCGCGTGGGAGCTGGGGATTGCTCTGACAATCGCCGAGGAGGCTGACATCACATCGTTGAGAGTGGCACAGAACACCTAGGCCCACATCGCCCTGCGACAGTCGCCTGGTGTGGCGGCATGCGCGGGGGTCCCGATGCCTGCGGGGGCTGACGCGCCTCAAGGGGAGGACGTCCTCGCTGCTCTCGCTGTGGGCGATCGACGCAGAGGTGGTGCCGGGGGTCGCCGACTGGAGCAATGGTGGCGGGTGAGGGCTCCTCGCTCGCAAGGCTCGGCACCCACTGCCTGCTTCCGCTGTGGTCAGCAGGGCCACATCGTGTTGGGCTGCCGCAACGCTCCCGGGGCCTTGAACAAGGACTCTTCGGCTACTGGGCCTAAGGTGAGTCGCGACGCATCAATCACCCGGCCGCTCCCCTCACCTCACTCATCTAGCGGGGTTAGCGTCCATAATCACGAGGTCATTACTAAGTGCTCGGGTTTGATCGGTGCTCGCTCGCTGTTATTCGCCGGGTGGCCTAAGCGGGTCCATCAAAGGGATGTGCTTGCGTATTGCGTTGTAGCGGCCGCGGCGGGTTCCTCTGCGGTTGCGGGTTATGTCCAGGGTGTGGAAGTGCGCGTTTTGGTGGATACGGGCATGTCGGCCACCATTATATCCGAGCGTATCTATGGGATGTTGCCACAGGGGCGTTGGTCCATTACGGCCGGTTCAAGGGACTTGTGTCACCACAAATGGCGGCAGTTTGGGCGTTTTGGGCCACATTGTCGCCTCCATTCGGATCGGCGAAATTGATTTGGTGAGGCCGGTTTTGGTCTCAAAGGTGTTGGCAGTACCATGCCTTTTGGGCACTGATTTTTTAGCCAAGATGCCCATCCGTATTCTTGTGGACCAAGGCTGTGTGGAGATGCCATCGGGCCGACGCCTGCACTTCTTGCAGTCTCCCACTGTTTTGTCTCCCCTTGCCGCCAGTGTGCGGGCCTTGGCTAAGGAGTCCATGACCATTCTGGTACCCCTCAGGCTGCGCACACCTCTGCATTTGCACTCCCCGGAGATGGTGGGCCTCCTGTTGTCCCCCTCTAATTACTTATTGAGGACGACCGGGTTGGTAGGTGCCCTGACGGTCGCATCAGAGAGCCGGGACTCTTTTTGCAGGTCCTGAATTTGGGGCCCTCGCCGATCGCGATTCTGGCCGGTGCCGTTTTGGTGCACGCAACCCCAGCTCCTCCACCCATTGACGCCAGGACGGCTGGAGTGGTTGTGGCGGGCGTGATGCATGGTGGGAGGACTGATGCATCATGGATTGATGCGCTGTGTCACGAGAATGCCTTGTTGCCCCCCGAGGAGCGCCAGCGGCTCCGCAAACTCATTGAGAGTTTCACCGATGTGTTTAGTCAGAGTAAACTTGATATTGATCGCAGGACTCTTCTGGAACATCACATAGACAAGGGCAATTCACCCCCTATTCGGCTAAATTCGCACCAGTTAAGCCCAGCAGAAAAAGATCATGTCCGCTTGGCCGTCAACGAGATGTTGGCAGCGGACATTATCTCCCCATCCACTAGCCCTTGGGGTGCCCCCATTGTGCTAGTCAAGAAACGGGATGGGAGTCTCCGGTTCTGCATCGATTTTCGGAAGTTGAACAAGATTTGGGTGGCTGATGCATATCCATTGCCCCAAATGGATGATTCACTCGACGCCCTCTCGGGTGCGCGGTTCTTTTCCACCTTAGATTTGCTCTCGGGCTTCTGGCAATTGCCACTGGACGGGGCCTCTAGACCAAAGACAGCTTTCCGCACACCCCAGGGGCTGTTCCAATTCAATCAGCTTCCTATGGGCCTCCATTCGGCCCTGGCCACCTTCCAACGTCTCGTAGAGATGGTCTTGGCTGGGCTGCAGTGGGAATCTTGTTTGATTTACTTGGACGACGTTATTGTTTTCAGCCGTACGTTTGATGAGCACTTGCAGTGTCTTGAGGCAGTGATCGTCAAAGTACGTGCTGCGGGCTTGAAATTAAAACTGCAGAAGTGTAATTTGTTGCAGCCATTGGTGAAATATTTGGGCCACATTGTTAGTGCGTCAGGAGTCGCCACAGATCTAGAGATGACAGCTTGTGTCCGGTCATGGCCGACTCCCACATCTGTCGCTGAGGTGCGCAGCTTCGTCGACTTCGCCACGTACTATTGTCGCTTTGTGCGCGATTTTGCGACTATAGCGAAGCCACTACACGCACTATCCGCAAAGGGACAAAATTTTTGTTGGGGCGTAGAGGAGGAAACGGCCTTTGTTGCGCTTCGCGCATCCTTGGTGAATGCGCCACCCTTAAGGTACCCTGACTTTTCTAAGCCCTTCATCCTCGACACTGACGCCATTGACTCGGGCATTGGGGCTGTCCTGGCTCAGGTGGTCGACGGGGTGGAAAGGTTTTGATTTAAAGCTTTCGTGACTGCAGTAATTCATATTCTTAGCTCTTTCGGTAAAGTCACGTTGAAGGGAAACAATAAAATAATAAAATATATATAAAACAATAAAAATTCTCACGACGTTTCGACCATAACACAAACGGTCGTCATCAGGTGTGTCGGTTTGCATAAAATTTTATTGTTATATATATTTTATTATTTTATTGTTTCCCTTCAACGTGACTTTACCGAAAGAGCTAAGAATATGGGGTGGAAAGGGTCGTCACATACGGCAGTCGCGTGTTGTTCCCCGCTGAGCAGCGGTATTGTGTGACCCGGAGTGAGCTGCTGGCCATTGTGTTTTTTGTACAGCTGTATAGGCCCTATTTGTATGGCAGGCGGTTTACTGTTCGAACTGACCATGCGGCCCTGCAATATTCCCTGTGGATAGATCACCACTCAGGTCAGCTGTCCCGCTGGCCTGAGGTGCTGCAGGTTATATTCCTTCGATGTCATCCACAGGAAGGGGGCACAGCATGGAAACGCTGATGGCCTATCCAGACTGCCTACGGAGGGCGGGTGCGCATGTACCCTGGGTTCCAGTCGCTGCAGGACCCCGGTTGACACCGCGGCCCAGTTGGTTGCAACGGCTGAAGCAGCCTCCTCTCCGGGCATGGCATTGCCTATGGACTTTGGCCTGGGTCTCTACCAAGAGGTCTGGCCCAACTTGCAGATGGAGGATTCCTCTCTGCTGCGGTTATGACACCGTGTTGGGCTAAATGCCCGGGGCTCAGCTCCGTCGGCGGGCCCGGTTGTTGCTGTGCATGACGGCCTCATCATGCGTTGGGATACCGAATGGGATCGCTATTGCATGGTTGTACCCACTGGCCTGCGAGGAAAATGGACTCGTGTCATTCACGAGAAACTTATGCACCTTGGTTATGATAAGAACTTGTTGACCCTTAAACGAGACTACTATTGGCCAGGTGTGGAGAGTGATGTGGCACTGTTTTTGAAAGGTTGCCACAATTGTGCACGGCGGAAGTCCCCGGTTGGCCATGATCAGGCCCCGCTGAAGTCTATCTGGGTTGCTCGTGTAAATGAGCTCGTGGCACTTGACATTTTGGGTCCCTTTCTGACGTCCCAACGGGGACACAAATATCTCCTAGTTGGGGTCGAGTACCTCACGTGCCGGCTTATGGCGTGGCCCTTGTCAGATCAGTCGACCTCGTCCATCACCGAGGCCTTTGTGCAGGGTTACGTGTTGAACAAGGGTGCGCCAGAACTATTAATGGACCATGGCCGAAATTTTTCTTCATGACTGCTTAAGGAGGTCTGTGACCTCCTTGACACCAAGAAATTAATACATCGCCCTATCACCCTCAGTCCAATGGGATGGTTGAATAGTTAAACCGCACCCTCACGTCTATGCTTTGCCACCAGGTGAGCACGTCCCGGTCGGACCCCCAGGACCTGTTCGTCCTGGGGGTCCTGGCCACGTACAGGCTGGCCCCTCATGCCTCAACGGGGTTCTTGCCCTTCTATAAAATGTATGGCCGAGATCCGGAACCCCCGATTCATGTATAGATGGACCTGGGATCCTCGAGGAATGGGTCCGCAGTGGCCACTCCAATGAAGGCCGCGCTCGACCGGCTGCGCGAGGCACGGCAGGCGGCTGTGGACAGTTCGGCCAGCCGGCAGGTGACTAACGAGTGCCTGCCGAAACATCAGGCCTCCGGCCTTCCGTGGGAAAAGGAGCAGAAAGCGTGGCTCCACTGCCCCCAAGTACCTGTTGGCACATCCCCTAAATTGCACCACCGTTGGCAGGGCCCTGTTGAGGTCGTGGAGGTGCAACGCCCGCATTTGTTTCGGCCACCGGCACTGGATGGTACACCCATTGCGCCTGAAAATATATGTACCACCTAGCCTTCTTGATTCATCTCCACTTCCTGAGGGGCCGGTGATTGATGTGTCCGACGCACCGGGCCGCACGGGTCTTGATGTTGAGCACAACGTCTGCCTTGCGCCTACAGAGCCCCCACCAGTAGCTCCTGAGGCGACGCCTCTTCCTGTGGAGGCCCCGACGTCGAGCCAGTCGCCAGCTGGTGCGTTGGCTGTCCCTATGACCGACGACGCATGTGGGAGTGGACCTGCAGCTCACACGCGTTCAAGAGGCGTTCGGTTCCGATGATGGCTATTGGGACCGTTGTCATCGGCCTCCAGCCGTTGCCGTGATATTCGGCGCGTTGATGGCTTTCCTTATTGTTGTGCTGCCCTAATGCTCTTGTTGAGTTTCCCGCAGACAGCTTCGCCTTCACACGCGCTTCACATGTTTGTTATCGTTATCCATTGTTATCCGTTGTTGTCTCCTCTTCGGGTTAACGGGGCTCCGCTTTCGTATCATTCACAGCTGGGTCGGCTGATTTTATTCACGGGGGGGGGGGGGGGGGGTAATGTGGCGGAGTAATATGGGGACGTGACATCATACACGATGTGAGGTGTGATGACGTCATGTAACCTGGGGGTACTTAAGGGGGGCCCCATGACAAAAGTGGGGTCGTTGGGGGAGTCCCAAATGGAGAGCGGTTGAAGGGAGCTGAAGAGACAGCCAGGGGTAGAGCTCAAGAAGTCTGTAGAAGCCGGCTGTAGTTACGGAAGGCGAAGAGACAACCAGTAGGCTAGCAGTAGAGAGAGCTAAGGGTCCAAGGGAAGGACCGAGTATAGCACACCTATCCCTGGTGGTTAACTACTTCCTTTGTTAATAAACAGGCGCAAGCCCTTCCTTGAAGACCTGACTCGGCATCGTAATTTACCACACAATTGTACGTATGCCTATTACAATTATCTTAAATCAAACCTAAAGTGATCTAAAGTACTTATGTGGCCTATATTGAAGTTTCAATGTAAGCAAAACAACCCATCAGTGAGAACTTTATTGTGCATAACCTCCTAAACAAATAAGAAAAATTAAGGACTCAGCGGATCAAAACTTTGAACATCCCAGGAGCAAACAAACATCACCAGAAATGGAATTAATGTGAACAATGGCGACTTACGTGACCAAGCAGATGGCAAAGCTGTGCCATCTCTCCCTCTGCGCCACACTGCTCCTATCCGTTACTTGTCGAGTCTAATTCCTAATTTGGCAAACTATAAATTTGTGTGGTGTGTGTGATGATCGCACCCAGGATGGTCCGGTAACAAATGCTTTAATAAGAATGAAAAACGCGAACAACAGCAGCGCACAACTCACGCCCAACTCACACCATAGCTCCGCCTTCACCGACTAAAGATATGCTGGCAACAAAACGCCTCCACCTACTTTAGCACGTTGACAAATGTTAGTTGTCTTACATTTGCAACCAGTATTTGCCCGAACTGTCTACCCATACTAAAGAGGAGATATTTACGATGTTATCAACCACAACAACAAAAAAGACTTACATTTGGAAGTTGATGGTCACCACCATTCCTTGGGGCACCGAGATTACCCAGTTGCACGTTTCCGCCATGTAGTAGGAGTACATGAACTGGCCGATCGACGCGTTCAGGGCTTGACCGCAGCTGCTCGGAGACGCCGTCATGTTGAATGGAGACGCCGTCGTGTTGAACGGGGACGCCGTCTTGTTGAACGGAGGCCACATGCCGCTCGTGGTGTAATTCAATCCGGGGTAGGTCGTAGTAGCGAACGTTAGGTTGTGGCCAGGCATACCTAATTAAGATAGCGGTGGGGCAAGGGGGTTTGTGGAGAGTTAACTCGCCCGCAGATTATGAAATTAAATGCTCGCGGTGTGCATTGTGAGAGAATGTAAATTCGCGGGCCATGTTAGACAGCACCATGGAGGTGCAGTCTTCTGGAAGGCTTTGTCACTTGTGGTTGCACTTACCGTTCATTAATAAAGACTTCATTATTTCTAATGGAATATCCTGACCGAAACATTCCGTTATTGCAAGGTTGATAAAGTAACCAGTAAGAAAACAAATGGTATTGACAGACTTTAAGCCAGATAGAGGCATGTGTCCCCTATGTGAAGCCTTGTGAAGCTGATGCAGGTGTATTCGAGATGACACAGGTATCCCTCGATTTATGAACGTTCGCTTTATAAATTTCGCTTTCAGGCGATTGAAATATTACGGACGCTTTTCGATGAACGAAATCGAATTTTCCACGTTATTACGAAATTTCACTTCGTCCAAGGGCGCCGTGAGATTATCGAACGAGAAGCCACCCGGGAGGCTGCGGCATCATCCACCCACATCGCAGCAGGAGCTTTTGGTGAGTTCCCTCAAGAGGTTAATTATTTTTAAATGTATTATTATTCAATCGTTTTCGTATTTATGTTCTTTATTTTAAAAATCTTTGCATTGTGAAGTGATATAGGTGTATATTTGTAGGTTAGGCGTAGAGTTACATTGACTGTCCAAAACACGTCTCGTAATGTTTAGAATAAAATTACAGGGACTCCTCTACTTACGAACATTCGACTGAGGAACTTTCAGAGATACAAACAAACCTGTTCAGACCGAGTTGTAAGTTAAACCGCCGCGCAATAGATGGTGGTGGTGGCATCTATTACAACTTTTTTATTGTCTAAAGTGATATAGGTGTATGTTTTGATATGCGTAAGAAACACATCTATTTTTTTTTATTAATGGGAAACCATTTCAATTTACGACATTTATTTTTACGTGGGTTTTCTGAAGAACACATCCGTTTCATAAATCGAGGGATACCTGTACTTACGGTTTCGCTTCATTGCTACGCGAAAAAACTTTTTAAAAAGTTGTATTTTACGAGGTAAGGCCCACTGAGCTGTATAGCTCTTTTTCAGAAGCGAACTGGCCAACAGAAATGATAGGTCAACCAAGTGGCTTATCACGTGCACAGCCAAATACTCTAAATGCATGTCGTTAAATGTGGAGAGAAAACCCGGAGGACCCGGAGAAAAATCCGCACGACCACGGCGAGAGAGACACGCAAACTCTAAATATACAGCAGGTGTCAGGGTCGGGATCGAACTCGCGACCTCCTGGATACCAGGTAAGGTAGCTAACATCTCCCCACTGCGCCGCCCAGCGGCGAGATCAGAAGCTGAGGTGCGCCTTCTCGTACCGTGTTGTGACATCTGGATGGAGAGGTAATGCAGTCGTAAGCGAACTGCGCCATTGTCTCAGCTACTCGCACGATGGCAGCTTCGTGCCGCAAACGAGGAACATCTCGCCATTACAATTCATCGCGCTCACGGGAAAAACATTTTCCCCTAACGTGAGTCTTGCCGCTGTGGAATTTAGTTTTAACAGACCGTGGGGGGCACCTCGAATGTTTATCAGTCGGGGTTTAGAAGACGTGGATCACACGAGTTTCACTGTACTCTGTAAGAAATGTAGCCATAATTGAGATCTTTTTGGGATAGATCACGTAAAAATAAATGTGTCGTTAAACCCGCCACCACCCGACAGCCAATTAGTAACATTTGTCACGTAAACAAAACATGCCAATTAGTAACTAGTTTAGCACATCGGTGTGTTGGAGAGTAAATCCACAACATTTATAATCCGAGTATGAAGTCTTGCCGGTAATTACAGCAACTAGCCTCATCAGGTGACAGCCAGAATTGTGGGGAAGTCATCCTCCTATTTCGGTCTTAAATAGAGGGGGTGAATGTGATGTCATCATTACAATGGATATCTCTATTCTTGGTTGGGTTATCCAAATTTAATCAACATACATAATTTACGTACATTATTCATGTGTAGTGACATAGAATTGGTCACTTAGCAGCATACCGCTTGTTGCTGGCAGGGAAGGGATCTGCAGTTATAGCAGCCCTGACTGACAGCAAGTCACGTGATAGACCAGAGAGAGGGATGTTGGGGAAAGGTTCCAGAAGGGGCACGTGGGGGAAGCCTGGGAACCTGCTGGTAGGTTCTATAAAGGGGGCGTGGCTGGGGCGAAGCGAGGCCATGCTGGGAGGATAAAAGGGGGGGGGGCACAAGCGGGAGCTCGGGGCTGTCGTTTGGAGTGGGATCTCGTCGTGCTGCTGGAGTCTTCGTCGCCGTCTACGTCTTCACCATCTCGTCGTCAGTCAGGCAGTCTGCCAGCTGTCCTAACTGGGAGCTGTAGTTTCTAAGTGTGAACTATTAAGGCTGTTAATAAACAGAGTGCCTCTGTGTCAGTCACTACACATGGAAATGTAATTCAAATTGTTAATCTTGCTTCAGTTTACCAGATGATCCAGGTCGTGATGGTGGTGTTATGGTTGTGCTGATTGTAGCTGATGTCTTGTATACTAGGAAAAACAAAAAAAACAATGAACACAAAACGCACATCACTGCCGCGCGTACAAAAAATAACCATAATTATCGTGGGAGGAGAGGGCATGGGGGGGGGGGCAATCCCCCCCCCCCAAACTGAGCACTTTTATTAATTTATTGTCAGCAGTTTACAACAAAGATTATAAATTTATTTATTATATGGACCCACGATTCCGAATGTGAGGGACAAAGCAACCCCCCCCCCCCGTTAAATATAGAAGTCAAACTCCGCCTAACAATAATAATAGTGCGGTGGGTAATTGTCAGGCGTAATGCGCCGTCACCACTACTGGAAAATATGTACCTCCAGTCAGGGCCCAACAGGGGGCAATAGCGGGTCCGGTCTGTACCAAGTAGGACTTGTGGGTCAGGCAATCTGAGGGGGCGGTTAGGAACCAGAGGTGGACACCCAGGCCCCCAGTGGGGGCTGGGGGATTGCGCAACAATCTAGGTCCCTCCAAAAGGTTCCAGAGAGTGGGCGTGGCCAGGGGCAGAGTGACCCTGGGAGCCCCATAAAAGCCGGACCTCAGAGCGGCTCCGGAAGTCAGCGTCAAGCAGAAGACCGAAGAGCTCGCCTGAAGACTAGGACCCTGAAGATCCCCGGACCTGACGTCCTTATCAGGGCCGGGTCTGAGTGGGCCAGTGGTCGAGACCCGAGGACCTTGGTTGGGTCGAGTCAGCCTCCCCTAGGTCCCGTTAGCCGGAGGGCTAAGATTAGGTGGTCCCAGTGACTAGGGCACATTAGCCCGGAGGCTATACCTCCTCAGGTCGTTGGATAGGAGGGGCCATTACCCCTTCATGTGAGGGACCCCGTGTGTTCACGTTATTGTTAAATAAATACGTGTTGCCTCCTAAGAAGACTCCGTCTCCATACAACCCACTACATAGTATTATTATCACGCTTGTTTGCTCACGAAAGGCTGAGTCTCGTGACCCTATTTCAGGAGGTTCCTACCGAGTTTTTTTGCACAAGGGGGGAGCGATGTTTGCCACCCATAACTCCAAATGAATACATTTGTGGATTATTTTTTCCCATGCACCGTTTTAAGTTACATTTATTCATTATTTATCCACGTTCATATTAATGCTTTTGAATTTTCATATTACGTTTATTTATTAAAATGGTGTTTAAACATTCCAAACTGTGTTTTTAGAGTGAAAAAGTTCAACTTCAGATTGTCTTGGAACAAATTAAGCACCTTTAACGTGCATTTCCTAGATTCTATTAAATTATAATTTCAGATAAACGATGGTTTTCATGGAATCAGTTGATATCGTTAACCGAGGGAACCCCAGGTATTCGGTTGTAAGAGTTGGAGTGATTGCCATCCATGGTAGGGTTATCATCTGTTAGCTTACCTTGACATAGAAGAGCCACAACGAGGAGGCTTCCAAGGAACCCCATCTTGATCGGTGTCTCTAATTGATTCCTTTTTCTTTACTTTGTGTTTTACTGAAAAAGATGAGCACGTGTTAATGAGGACACGTTTTAATAATAACTTAAAACTGATTTTCTTTTTCAAAATCCAGTCTGTAGGTCGTGAGCCTTCTCTGAATTTGTAAACAAATAAAATAAAATGCGATTGCAAACAGTGGGAGGATATATTCTTAGTTTTTTCGGTAAAGTCACGTTGAAGAGAAACAACAATGTTTTATTGTTTTTTATTGTTTTATATATATTTTGTTATTTTGTTGTTTCTCTTCAACGTGACTTTACCGAAAAAACTAAGAATATGAATTACTGCAGTCACGAAAGCTTTAAATCAAAATTTAGTGGGAGGATATGTTTTATTCGTCACAACGTTAGAGCTAAACAACAATGGTTTTCATGGAAAAGAAATCACACGAAATTCGAGTGTTTCCCTGATAAAGTAAGCAATGAGGTGCTCATACCTGTTGGGCAGTCCACAGTAGCTGTAATTCTAGATTACCATAACAGGGACCAGCATGAAATTTTCATGAATATCGGTACAATTGTACAACTGCATTTTTTGTAGGAGGGACAACTGTTTCTTTTGTAATATTCTCACATTGTTATCCCGATAGTATTACCATCGGCGTCACGTCATGACATGAAGAACCCATCAGTCCTCTGGCAGAGCAGCGCGACCCCTTGCAATGGAGAATAGCACACAGAAGCAGATAATATAGCACTACCTCTTAGATCCCTCTAAGTGACCTCAGGTGAAAATCGTATCAGGTTGCAGTTTCCCACCTGCGTCTGCAATTTAAAAATTGACAGTGATACTTTCATTCTCAGAGCTCTGGAATGTTTGCAGATTACACGCAGAGCCAATCCCATGGAAGGAAGGGTCTTCTTTATCGGGGAGGCAAGGATATGTTTAACTGCATTCTACGCGATTTGTACCATTGTGCTGAGTCCAGCGATACGCGTGTAACATTTCTACCTTCAGTACACGTCGAATGGATTGAGAGCAAAACCTACAACACATACAAGTACAATCAAACTCCCTATACCACGATGGTGTGGAAGATGAATGTCGCATAATCTATTATCGGTGATGTTATCCGCAAATGTATTCCACTTATCCGCAAAAAGAGATTGAGGATAATCATACATAGTCGGAATAATTTGCCTCCACTCATCTGCGAAAAAAACAATTTAGATAGAGTAATAAACCCCGGTATATGCCGGGGGGATGTGCTCCAGAAAGGCGCGATGACGAATATCGAAACGACGTAAAATCCAAGGGATTTTCGGAGTAGTAGTAGTGGGTGGTGGAGGTTCAAGCCTGGGAGACAATGGATAATGAGAAAGGATGGACGGTGCCGTCAGCGACGTTAGTGTGTGGGTTGAGGCGATGCTAATCGGGTGGCGGTGTTAATCATAAAGTGACGACGTATTTGTGAACCGACGTTAAAAGTGGGGAGAGACGTAAATTGGGGTATTACTGTAATAGGAAGCCATTCCACAATGCAGGAAGGGAAAAAACTGGACATTCCTGGATAATGGTAATGAGGGGTTTGGTGTAACAGGAGTTTACATAGACACTCCAGCTCCCTTGGAGATAACAAGAGTCTATGGCATGTGCAGAGTTTGCGGGCGGGGCACGGGGTAATGCCCCTTCAAAACTAGACACCTTTATTAATATATGTTCACTAGCTTACGATTAAGATAAAAAAAAAAAACTTTTAAATAAATTATATACACCCGCGATTCCTAATGTGAGAGACAAAGCGAATTCCTGCCCACCTCCCCCAAAATGTAGAAGTAAAACTACGCCGAAGGTCTTTGGTCATCGTGGGGTCATCGCGGATAGGTTTTCAAGGTGGGGGAATCTCATTTTTGGGTTTATCAACGTAGAATCGCAGAGGTGGCTGGCTCAGTAACGCGATCGTGGTGCGAGCCACCAGAGGTGGCTGGCTCAGTAACGCGATCGTGGTGCGAGCCACCAGAGGTGGCTGGCTCAGTAACGCGATCGTGGTGCGAGCCACCAGAGATGGCTGGCTCAGTAACGCGATCGTGGTGCGAGCCACCAGAGATGGCTGACTCAGTAACCCGATCCTGGCGCGAGCCACCAGAGGTGGCTGGCTCAGTCACCCGATCTTGGTGCGAGCCACCAGAGGTGCTGGCTCAGTAACCCGATCCTGGCGTGAGCCACCAGAAGTGGCTGACTCAGTCACCCAATCCTGGCGTGAGCCACCAGAGGTGGCTGGCTCAATCCGATCCTGGCACGAGCCACCAGAGGTAGCTGACTCAGTCACCCGATCGTGGCGTGAGCCACCAGAAGTGGCTGACTCAGTAACCCGATCCTGGCGCGAGCCACCAGAATGTCACGTCTGCTTTTGGAACACATTTTTGGAAGGTTTCCAAGCGGTGCTTAAACCTGTTTTGAGATAGGAAGGACCCCCTCTTATCTACACAGAATCTGCCTGTTATTATACAGTACAACTTGTGGTTTTTACGCAACTGCGTTAAACAAATATAATAATTTACATTGATGAAGCGCCCTTGAAAACAATCTTTGTCAGGGTACTAAGCAACTATATTTAGCTGTCATATGTTTCCAGTATAATGGAACTGGGATAATAAGCATTGCTTAGCATTGCCACAAATACTCTAAACTGCCTTAGTCCAAGAAGTTAATTATAATGTCTGTAATTTTTTTGATGTATTATTCTTATTGTTGTTTACATGACCTCAGTCCCTTCATTTAGGCCTGTAAAGCACTTTGTATTGAATTCTTTGCACGAATTGTGCTATATAAGTAAAGTTTTTTTTCATTTGAAGGTCATAAAATTCGATGATATGACCTTGGCTAATGTGGGTGTATGGTTCAGTGAGGTGTTGCGTGCTCAGTCCTCCTTTGTTTAAAAAAAAGTGTCCTCGTCACACAAACCAGTATGTAGTGTACACAAAAGTGAGTTTCAAATCTGGTTTGAAGCACCTGGTTCCGTAAAAACACAAAAAACAGTTTCCACGAGGCAGGGCAGTGACAATAGCCGTGAACAAATGGAGATTATTATCATTCAAGTGGTGTTATATTACAGGCACACGATAGGGATCTGGTGAGAACTGACCATGGGATGTATGGAAATTGCAGAAGAATTGCAGCAACGTTGGCACGTAGGTCTTAGCATCAGTACATTTTTCTAGCCTTTTGCCCGTCCAAGGATGGGTGTATTGCAGTAAATCTGAAACTTGCAAGTGAAAAGCAGACCGCGACATGATATTCACTGCATCCATTCGTGTGCAATTTGTAAGGCCGTGGTGACACAGACATTTCATTTAAAGGTTATAATCCCTTGTTCATCATTACGTCCTTTTAACTTATATGTCTCAATAGCGTGACTGAGATCGCGTGACGTGAAGGTTCTGCCTTTGTAGTGAGGGTTATAAGTTGATGCTGAGGACGGGGAAGGAGGCGCCTCGCCCCCCATGTGGTGACGTCACCCGCTAATAATTATTAATTGAGGGGGTTTTCATTTGGAGGACGTCACCTGTTCATGATTATTAATGAGGGGGGCTGTTCGATGTGGAGTGACATCACCTGCTCATGGTTATTAATTAGGGGGGGGGTTCTCCATGTGGAGTGAAAGCGTGTAATAAAAAGGCAGCGCTGTGCATCAGAAAAGGCAGGACGAAACTGCCATTGTGCCACAGACGAATAAAATAAAACATTGCCGCTATCGCTAACTAAGCTTTCGTGGATAGTTATGAGTAAAAACTGAACGAAAAATGTGTCACTTTGGAAGATTAGTGTATCACATACCCGTCAATATATGGTCCATGAATGTAAAACTATAAATATATTTTTTTAAACAAGCACGTAGTTTAAATAGTAACACTTTAACGTTTATGAGTGATCTTGTCTGAAACAAGAAGTTTACTAGTAGTAATAGGTTTTTACCCTTTTATCTGGCACCAAAACTGACACCTTTATACAAGGGGTCATGTTTGCAATAACCACAACACAAGCAGTCAAAATGCAAACAAAAAGAGACAACTCTGATAATAATATGCACTGTCCTTGAAATTGATTGGTCCACACCCGAGACGGCTTTTCTTAGAGCCTAGTCTCCAATGGTGTTGGACCAGATGACGCCAAAAGGCATCATTTTGACTGCTTGTGTTGTGGTTATTGCAAACATGACCCCTTGTATAAAGGTGTCAGTTTTGGTGCCAGATAAAAGGGTAAAAACCTATTACTATATCTTGCTACTGGCAAAGGAGGTCTCGTAAGAATTTACTTCAAAACTTAAAAAAAACGTCTGGATGTGAATGATGCTGCTGAGTGAGAGTTTGCTAAATATTAAACAGTGCGACATTCAACAGCAGTGGGTTGATGTCTGATATTATTATGTTGATATGATGATATGTTAATACGATGTTATGATGTTGATACGATGTTATGCAGAAATAACAGATAAAGGGAAATGCAATACCACGGAGAGTGGGGAATTGCACGGAAGTTATTTGTGACCTCAATTTTCTATCAACGTATGAGGTGTTGCAGAGAAGATTTAATATTTTTTTTATTCAGGTTAAATCAACGTATGAGGTGTTGCAGAGAAGATTTAATATATTTTTTATTCAGGTTAAATTGTTCACAGAGCATGTTCTGAACGTTTTTTTGTTGTTGGGAAAAGGTTTACAGTAAGCATTGTATGTATTTACAAAATCAGTTTTAGACAGAAAGTTTAAGAATTATTGAAAGGTGCTTGCTCTAGTATATGGCCTCTAAACAACGTGAGCGTTTGCATCGACACGGTAAATGTTCCCACAAACTCTCACACCCGCACCTCCGATTAGCATGGTTGGCTACATACGGGGCGATGAAAATTCCCACTTGAAAACATACATACAAACATACACTCGGTGCATCCGAAACCAATAGTCCGGTCATCCCTTACAGGCATATCGCTTTAAGTTGTGTCGCGTAAACACGCCCAAAAGTGTGAAGTTATCAAGATGCTTAAAACACGCTCAGG